GGACTCGCTCTGATCAGAACAACTGAATGAATCCAGATAATTGTGTGTGCCATCTAAAATGAACTTATGATTGCAGAAAACTTATAGCTGGAACTCACCGTATGTTTTTGGAGTAGTCATCCTCGTTGTTTGGCAATGGAACTCGAGAATATGAAATTAGGCAGGCAGTGGTCAGAAGAAAAGATATTACAGGATAGTGCATCGTTTAAAACAGGATGAGGTGTTAAGTGAAGGAACACTGAGAATTAGATCCAGATAACTATTTAGTCCTTGATCGCATTGTTAGTCAATGTATATTTACGCTATTTACAGGTCATATTTGCTAGAGCTTGATGTTTAAACAAGACTATGTCGCTGAAGCATGTAAATGCTATTACAGCTTGTTAACAAATCATCAAAGCTAATTAGTTAATATAGACGACCAGTTTTTATTATCGATTGAGCTAGTTTGTCATGAGGACTAATCAATATAACATTACGATAATGCATGTGAGCATTAATCAGAGGACTATTGGAATACAGGGTTAACATAAATATAAAATCGATCGAGAAAGTTGAAGTGGAAATAAGGATTAATAATATTAGGTTGCGTTTCTTTAGTTGGGCTCACCAATGTAGAACTATGGTCTACTATGATATTAGTACTGCTCTAATAATAGACCTAATCCTGAAATTTGTCGATTTGTCATGATATAACTGCCTAATCTATAAGATCTTACGTGGAAGTCACACCATCGACTACACCAACTCACCGTATCGTAACAACTACCAATACATAATGAAGAACGAGCTTAGGCTAGAGAAAGAACAATATATTTAATATGAATAGAGACCACGCCTGCATGGCCGAGCCATGCCACTCGATCAACCCCAGTCCATTCAATTCATTGTTCGCGCCTTCTCCATTTTTAGGTATTTCTCCGCGTTAAATATTGAATATCTATTTTCTGAGTAGTCTCGTGTTCACAGCTTTGTGGATTGTGTGGCTATTGTCCAATGCCACTACACTATGTCTTACCTATGTTAAAGCACCCGCATATGTTTTTGATGTAGACTGTAAAAAGCACTAAACCCAAGACACCACCCTGCACAATACCCCTGTATATTGGTCGACGTGTAGATGTTGTAGATTTAATCTCGGTTATTTGTTCTTGATCCATCGCAATAGTGGGTTTGTAATTCCAAATAACTGAGGTCTGTCGATTAGGACAGCATCAGAACAACTCTCTGAGTGTATGTTATCGCCAGCCATGGTCAAACATACAATCGACCTATACTTTCAAATGATACTCAAAAATTACCCAGAAATGCACAAAACGCGACCGGAGCTTTCAGTTGTAAACAACAACGTTGCACACCACATTACGTCTACGGGTCCGATAGATTGCAGCCCAGATGCGATCAAGGATGAATTTTACCATCGGTTAAATGTTCTTCCCCAGAAGATGCGTTCAACAGCTATTGTATTACCAGCCGGAGACTTGAATGCTCAGGTCGTGCGTCTAGTCAGATTAGAGGGTCGTTTACGCGGCCGATGCGGACTTGTTGGTCGCAGGACAGATAACGGGGACCGTCTACTGCAACTGTGCACAGACAACAACCTGCTTCTGGCTAGCGCTAACATCGCTTATGTACCACGTGACGTCCTCCCTCTGCGTCGCAAACCTGGACTCAGATTGATCACATCGCGATCAGCTACCGCAGACGTGGTTGTGTGCAAGACGGAAACTCCATTTAGAGTACCTACCTGAACTCTTATCTTGCGCATGTTCGCGCAAATCTCCATTTACTTTTCAGTGACCGACAAATTTGTCTTCATAAGCGACACAATTACAAGCACTGGGTTTCTTCTGAATCCTCACAACTCATAGAAACCCGTCTTTTTACTTCGAGTGACCTTGAGTTTGACCACAAAAGACAACTGTCACTTAATGATATTGGACAAACATTTTGTAAGGACCGAGAAGCCTGATGGTCAGAGGGTGTTGATGAGTTGAAAACAGCAGTTGCACATGGAAGCTGCTAGGAGCTATTTGAAGTCAGCGAGGCACTCGCAAAACGTCTGGTGTGAGCGAAACAATCTGCGAGGATGACAGGATGCCAATCACCAACATTCATCGACGTCTTGGACAATGTGCAGAATTCTTCGAAGGGCAGTTCAACTGGCCTGTGCTACGGCAACATCGATCAGACTGTCCTGCTCTCCATGGCCGGTGACAAATGATGCACGATATGAGGCGGAAGTCCGCAAGGAACTCCAACTCTTGAAGCACTACAAGTCACCGAAACTAGATGACTTACCTTCTGCTCCTTTTAAAGATGGTGTTGACTTTCTGGTCAAGGAAATGACAACGTTGTTTACAAAGGTCTGGGAGTTTTCCAACGTCATGGAATGAGTCGATAGTTGTTCCTATCTTTAAAACGGGTTCACGTTGTTCCTGTAATAACTATCGGGGGATAAGTCTACTTCCTATTGCGTCCAAGCTATTGGCTTCCGTCATACTTCGTAGGTTGTTCAAAACCCGAGAAAAATTGACTGGGTTTCGTTCTGGTCGAGGATGTATTGATCATATCTCCACCCTCCGCCAAATGTTGGAACACCGACATACTTATCACAAGCCAACAATCGTAGTGTTTCTTGACATCAGGGCTGCCTTCGATTCGCTGGACAGGAATGTTCTCTGCGATTGTCTATTGAAGAAGAGTGTGCTTTAGAAGTTCATTAACATCCTAAAGGCCCTATATACAAACACCTTAGGTAGAGTGAGGGCATACAACCACCTTCCTCCATTGTCCCATTCGAGCAGTGGGGTTAGGTAGGGTTGCCCAATCTCACCATTCCTTCTCAACTTTGCCAACGATGACATTCTGAAAACAGCTCTGATGGATGTAAGTAATGGTGGTGTGGATCTATTGCCTGGAGAAAGACTTCTCGACCTTGAGTATGCGGATGATATTGTGTTACTGTGCGATAATGTCCAAGCCATGCAATCCACACTTAATCAGTTGACAATCAGTGCCAGTAAGTATGGTATGTTGTTTGCACCTTCGAAGTGCAAAGTACTTCTACAAGACTGGCAGGACCCTGAACCTGCACTCACCCTGGTTAGTGAGCGGATAGAAGTAGTCGAGATGTTCACGTATCTGAATAACTGGGTAAGTGCTAGCGCAGGCGTATAGTGAAAGCCAGAGCGGCCTATACCAATCTGGGCCATCTTTGGCGTCTTCGTGATGTAAACGTCAGATCTACAACGCGTCGGTGAGAGCGGTTTTGTTCTATGCTTGTGAAACCTGGCCTCGCCGAGTTGAGGATGTTAGACAACTCTCTGTGTTTGATCATCGTTGTCTCCGAAGGATTGCTGACATCCAGTTGCATACCATGTTAGTAATGCAGAGGTTAGGGATCGTGTGTTCGAGCACAGTGTCAACCATCCATTTGGTGTCACTTCGGTGGCTTGGACATGTTCTACGAATGTCGTCCCAGAGAATTCCACGTCGTGCATCATTCGCCGACGGTGGGACTGGCTGGAAAAAGCGGATAGGTGGCCAGTGTATGACATGGTGTCGTGGTATGAAGGGAAGTATACAGGATTGGTGCCTGTTAGTCCTTCACGACTCTTTGGTTGGGGTCCTAGAGATGGTGCAACACAGCGGCTAGAGACTTTATTAGATATGGTTCAGAATAGAAGCCAGTGGCGATCCTGCTGAAGTTTTTTCTTTCTTTATGTTGGTGAACGTAACTTCTTTAACTGAAAGCATTCTCTGTGGTTGTATCTTAACAGAACTGTTTCTCCCATTATAATAATAATTTCATTCTTACACACTAGTTTCCGTTCGTTGTTCTTCTTTTACTATATGCGCTCTACATTCTCTATCGCTTCACAACCTCACTGTTATTGTTTGGCGAGTATGTATTCGGTGCCTCCATTGTACCAATGTTTATGTTTTCAAATAATAATACTACTAATCTAGTCAGCACATATGGAATTGTCAATCTCAAGTGGTTTTATTCGGGGCTATCCACTTTCGATATTTTTATTTTACTTCGTCATAGACAACCTTTTAGCGATAATGCTCTTATTGTCTGACTTTTCGGGAGTTGATCTACAAAGAGATTCATTTGTTGACTTTGGATACTGAGATGGCATAGTTCCGTTTCATAAAGATACTGAAAAATTCCGAGGTCTCCTGACCTTAAGCAGCAATCCAAGTATATTTCGGATACGTTTTTCTGTTCAAATCCAAAATGTTGCTTTAAGACTGGTCTACACCAGCGCCTGCATTATTTATGGAAAGTGAAGTAGTTAAACATATCGATCGCTTCAATTGTCTTGGGAGTCATATCAGTCCTAATGGCTTGGTGTATGATGAAATCTCGTTATGTATTTATAGGGCTCGATTGGTTTTTGCCAACCGGCGTCACTTGTGGCGTGGGTGAGATCTTTGTCTGCCAGCCAAAGGACGAGTTTATTGCTCAGCAGTTCACTCTGTCCCACTTTGTTTGTGTGAAACTTAACCATTATGGATAGAGGATATCCGTATGTTACTGGCATTTGGTCATAGGTATCTTTGAACGATTTTGGTACCGCCAAGTAAACAATCCCGAAGTTTCGGATAAAGATGGCAAGTTGATTAATAAAGTAGTGAATCTTCATCCACCAAGTTGGTAGAGACATGTATTTCTTATGCCAAACCATCACATGCATTTCCCATATAACTATAAATACGGATGTAAAGCTTAAGTAAATGATTTCGTCGAAACAAAAATTTTATTCGTTGAACTCTCTTCTTCATATTCAGCGACACAATCGGTTATTTTATTTATCTCTCACATGTCCCGTGGTTCAATTGCCAACATATCCAGCTCATCTGTCAATCGAATGAGAACGTCTAATTGAGCTGTTTGCAGAATTTGTTATAAGACGATTGGAAAATGAGACGGTGTTCATTACTCTTCTCCAAAAGTCTCAACATGATGGTTGAATAGCTTTCAGCGAGCCATTACAAAGAAGCGCGGGGTTCAAAATCCGTCAGAATTGGTCAAATGTGTCTGGACTCAAGTAATGTATATTCGAAGACGGAATTATGAACATGGAAGAATAAAAAGAAACAATCGCAGAAACAAATCGAACGAATCGCTTCATTTTATGTAAGTTTTCAAAGTCTCAAAGCTGGTAGACTCGGATGCAAATATTAGTTCCAAATTATTAAGTACTGGTTAGAAGAGCCCTGAAAGTTGCATGATCTGTTCTAGAAACTAAAGGGATTCAAGTTCGACTAATTTGAGGGATCTGGAAGAAAACATGTAATCCGTTTTTCTATTCTGTAGCACTAGCTTCAGAGTACTCTGAAGTTCTGTCAGATCTGAACTTGTTCAAGTTGTAGATGATTCTAATGAGTACCGATAATTTAGTGAATCCCTAAAGCGTCGCTAAATCCACTACCTTCTAAAAGACAAATATCTGATGCGTTTGTTCTGGGCTTCGAATCGTTTGTTAGTCCTTTCTCTAATTCAAGGGGGGAGGCGATGTACGTAAGAAATCAGATAAAAAACTCTCATGATTAAGCCGATCGAAGTGAATCCTGGAGTTCTAATGTTCTTAATGGCTGGGAAGAGTTTCCGTCAAAGTCGATATATGGTCAGGTGTCATTAACTAAAATACTTGTATTGCTTATTGTAGAAGCTTGTAGCTGAAATTCATTCACTGTCGTATAGTTTGCCGTGAGTGAGGTACGTTATTACCCTTTAGAGTTAAAAGTTAATCAATGGATATATTCGTCTGGCAATCGTTTACCAGTTCCCAGTGTGTTTATAGCTTCAGCTGTGTGTTACCTATATGGATTAAGCAATTTTTACGTCTTGTGGCGTGGACTACTCAATGAGGTCTCTCATTTCATGGATTTTCAATCAAAACTCAGCAGTCGAACACGTTCATCAAAGCTCATTATGTACTAGAGAAGAATGCTTTTTTTGAGTACAGCCATTACTCATGCGAACACCAATCGCGAGTAACTGTTTTATGAATAACTGCTGCTTTAAAGTTGTGAAAAACAGGTTATTTAGTTTCTGTCTAGAAATTCCAGTACATTCTCCTGTAAGATTTCCAAGTATACCTCTGAAGATAAATATCGTATTCCCGCTTCGAATAATTATAAACTTACCATGCTGTTTGGGTATTTCTGGCATGTCCATCGACTCTAGCACTTGTCTTTGTTGCTGTTCTTGGTTGGGTTGGATAGCTAACCATTATCTTCATCCTTTATCAAAGTCGGTCATAAAGTATACTTGTTTAACAAGTTATAATGAATGTCATGTTAAGTACGGAATGGAAACTATAATATCCGAAAGAGTTATTATTTATGAAACACAAGTTTACTCGATAATTAATACAAAGTTGATATGTCATGATTCAAATGTGTGGTGTTTCTGTCTTTCGTTCATTGATTATCTTTAAACAGGTTCCGTGAATGGTCTTACTAGGTACTAAGACAGTTCCATGTATTATGCATATGATGTCATGATGGAAATCACTTCTGGTATATCGCGTTTAAGATCAATGCTGCTTGTAAACTGTTTGCTTCAAGAATACCAACACCTTATCTCCTAAACCGCAGTTCTAAGAACAACTATGTTGCTTTTGATATCGTAAATTCAGACGTTACTGAATATTTTCCTTTTGAATATAAAAAACATTTAGTTTAGTCAAAATGCGTACCTAACTAGCAGAAGTCTTCGAGTTTGGGTTTTGTTACTCTTATAGTTTTAAGGAAACCGCTTACTGTTTTTCTGCTCATAAATAGAGCGTATTGTATTACTGTTGGGCTGAATATTTTTTTGTTTCTTTAAATCAGAATCCATAACTTAAATCGTAGTGCTGTGTAGTAAGAGTACTGTAATAGTAAACGTGATTCCCGAAATTTTAGATTTGGAACCTATTTTAAACTTCTGTTGGCTTGGGCAAGCATAATAATGCTGGACTTTTTTACGGATCTTCGTTTTGAATTTATTTGGTCTTGTTGGCTAATGGTTCGAACAGTTAATGATTCATTCAGATATCAGGGTCTGGTAAGCATTCTAATTTGGTCCGAGTCATTTATTAATTTCCAATATTTTTCAACCCAACTGTGTAAATTTATTTCAAGAGCTGTTCATGCACTAGTCAAGTACTAGAAACTAATTTTCGTAACGTGGAAACACTGGTATGCCGTATTTTAATTGTCGAGTTTGACGTCAATCAAAAGCCATATATTTAGGGTTTATATTTCTCAGTCTCTTATGTAGAGTACATATAGAACTTCGAGGCAATTTATTGAAGGATCTCTTCTCTAAAACGTTCAAGATTCGTCTTGTAAATATCAACTGTCATTTGCGTAACGAATAAATCCCATTATTGTACATTGTATGGATTAGTTTGCAAATTCAGGGGGGATGACTAAGTTTCCCTGCACCAATTTTTATATAGAGATTATAGGCTGCATTTTTAAATATCTCGTAAACTAATTACTTCAGGAAAACAAGTAAAAACCAATTTTGTGTTCATAAATCCTGTTGTTTGTTAGCTTCGCATCATTTTGCCAACTCATAGATAATCAATAACAATTATCACTGCAATGTTACTATTGCTCCCTTTTATCGTTTTTCTCCCACCGATCACAGATTTACGTCCTTTTTCGTTCGGTGAACAAACCTTTGGATAATAAACAAGTCACCTACAAATGTGACGGTCTAATCCAATCCCTATATTTTCAGTAACATGTGCAGGTTCATACTAAACTATGTACATCCCCGAAATGGAGCCGTAGTTTTCGAGTAATTTAGTTTTTCTCACTAATCTTTGTCTGTGTTTCCCCGATATGAGACCAAATTGACTATATGATCTGTTTATCGAATCAACTTTCATAGGTACCCTCGTTTTAAAAATAGTGAAATTTAAGATGTGTTGATCCAGGCATTTGTGAGGAGTTTCAACTGGTTCCACTAACCACCGGCAAAACACTCCCTACTTCCGTATGATTGCTAATGTGATCTTGAAGTGGATGGCGAGTATTTATACACCGTTCTCAACAAAACTATTTTTCTTAAGCAAGATTTTTTAAAAGTTATCTGTATCAAGGCAAAGAATGTGGCTCCTTGAATTAAATCTATTCAGGGAGTCGTGGGATTCATCACATTACTTGTCATTTTAAGATATAATTATATGAAGTTTGCAGAGCTATTCGCTTCTGTTAGTCCAATTAGTAGGCACACGTGATTTACAATCACTAACTACAGGGTACTTTATGTATGTATTTATTTATCCAAACATAAACATTAGTACGAGGAGGCACCAAATACGTATGCGCCACACGAGTCATTCGATACGCGTGGGGGCTGGAATACTACCAGGGTGCCCAAACCGAAGCAGGTGGTTTTCTTGGGGGGTCCTTCCCCAATCCTTTGACCTACAGATCTAATCCTCAAGGCAATGGAGCAACGTAAGGAGATGCAGTCCCATAATAGCTGGCGACAAAATATGGGTCCGTACGCCATTTTCCCTCAGGATACTGGAGCCCATGTGCTCCACTGGTTTGGAATCAGGTTTTCCAACATCCATATGTGGACCCTCTGTGTACACCAACCCGGTTAAAGCGCTGGACATTCGCTTTTCATCCTCTCAGTTTCGTAGACAACACCCCTGTCGCGAGAAGGCGATGAGCAGGACTTCCTTGATAGTGGCTGTGTATGCGTAGTCATATGAGAGCGTTTCGAGAGGGAGAGCTGACTCTCTCCACCCTCGACTGTTCCACGTCGTTGGGGGGTACTTTATGTAGGCTTCGTGAAGGCCACTCTAAACTAGATCTTAAGAAAAACTATAGTTTGTTATGTTTCGAAATAAAAAGTTACTGATCGTTTTGATATTCTCATCAAAACAATCACTTCTGATTTGCTTTATAGGCAGATACACAAGAGATGATAGCCTACTTGATCATTATGTCATATACGGGGCTTCAAGTGGATATTTTAAAATACCACTTTTTCAATAAAATTTTATGGTGTATATTTATAGTATAGTGCATATTTTTCAGAAGCTGACAGGAACTAATCAATATCAAGTCTCCAGCTAAGGTACATATTTCGTAAATCATGGGACCCTCAAATGTTCATTTGATAAATTTTGTTCAGATTATGATAAGCTTCAGAAAATTGACTAGTGGAGTGTAAGTTCCAAGTTAACAAGGGTTTTTAGTACTCGCTAAACACAGCTAAAAATCGAAAAATGTAATAGAAACTGGCTGCATTACTAATAATGGTAATTTCTTGAAGACTTCGTTCTTAATTTAGGTTTTTATAATCAAAAATCATCATTTTTATACATTCTAGGCATTTGCTCTGTTCTTTACATTCACTGCAATCATGGCTGATTTGCTTTGTTACTTCCTTGTACCTACTACATTGATCTACCTGCTTGGTAGTTCATGTGTATGGATACATCTGTTATGGCAAACAGGTGAGTCTTTTTGTATTTCTGTCTAATAATAAAAAATAATAAATCTTTATATTAAGTACTTGATAGTTCTCAAAGTTAAGTTTTACCCAGAAATGCAACCGACTATTGCACACTTCAAATCTTTCAATACTTATTTCTACTAAATTCTTGGTAAATTTTCATTTCAGTTGAGTATTTCGATTCTACTTTCTACATGGGTGTGTTCTTTGATATTCACTTTTCCCTTTTAACCTCTATTTCTCTTGCAGTTCGTTACCACACATTTTACGTTGTTTATTTCTTTGAGGAGGGGGGGCTTTTAACATTAGATGACAACTCAGTGTTGGTCATAGTATTTCTCAACACTTCGTACACTATGATATTTTACCCCAATTTAACCTGTTCTTTGTTTACATCGTTATGTGTTCCAAGAGGTTAATTAGTTCCTTTCATTTTGTTTTTGAGTTTAAGAAACACTCCGAGAACAATATTTTTGTGTCAAAATAACCTTTATTGTCATCTGTTGACCTTTCAAAGTGCTCTAGGGCTTGACCCCAAAAGTAAGTCAAACACTAATCCCTAGAAACGTCATAGTTATCATGTAATTCTGGTCGTCATTCATGTTCAAATACTAGTCTGTGGAATAGCAGCAGTATATGGTCCTGGATTTTTGTTTGAAGCATACTCTCAAATTATTAGTGTTGATACCTCTTTTGAATAACACCGTACTTTTTGATTCAAATTTGCATTATGACTTTTCCTTTTGTAATACCGTTGACATTATCTTCTCCCCGTAACGATTTCTACAAAGTATTTTTTCAAAAGAAAATCAAATATTATTGTCGTGATCTCTCGCCTAGAGGAGCATTCGAGATATCAATCATTTATATATGGACCAGAAAATGTGAAGTGCGGTTTGAGGGCTAGTGGTAATGGGGTGACGGGATGTCTAGAAATAGTGTTTTCTATGCATCACCTACTTATACACCCGTTTGCTTGTTATTTACATAGATGGCTGCTGTTATCAGTAAATTCTACTGCTTTTTAAAAAATTCCTCTGCTTGGTGTCCTATTAATCTCATTATTAAGCACGGTGATTCATTTTGTTTACTTTCGTCACCTTAGCCGTATAGTATTCTGCAGATGTGCATAATAGTTGCGTTTATTAATGTAAGGTTTCAACAATTACGGAGCTAACACAAAAATTACCCACTGAAAGGTCGTGTGTGACTGGTCTCAAGCATTTGTCCTTTAGGTACTGCGGTCATGCTCACAGGTGTCTAAGACCAACTCTATCCTTAATTCCTTTTCAAGTACTGCTAGAAGAACCCTTCCAGGGTGTGGGCAACCGGGAAGTGGTAACTGCCCTCATACCCCTAAGAACACTCAAGATCACTGTATTCATAACCAATCTCCATCTTCAACTCTTATTATTCCTCCTATCTCGACTATCAACTCTGAACTTCTTACTCAAGTATCACCATGGCCAACGATCCTAGTGCACAAAATATTGTCCCAGGCCTACTGAAACCTCGCTCCAAACTAACCATTGGAGCCTTCGACGTATGTACCCTATGTCAAATCAGCCAGCAGGCCTTCTCGACTAAGATCCTAGAATTTCGTACAATTAGTGTATGCGGTGTCTCCGAAACGCATACAGGATCTCAATGTTGTCATAATACTCGTAGAACGTGACTTTAATGCCCAAGTAGGTAGCTTAAAGCAAACAGAAAAACATTTAGGTTGACATTTTGGTATTTCGGTTCAGCCAACAGATAATGTTGTCCGTCTGCTGCAACTGTGCCCTGATGATAGTTTATTTCCAACAAGCACTAACTTTAAGCATAAGGACTGAAATAGACCATATTGCCACCAGTCGTCGTTGGAGAGTCTCAGTAGGAGACTGCTGCTCGTTCTGGAATACATTTTTAGACCATGATCATGCGCTAGTAAGATCAAACATTTGCTTGCACCCCACTGGACGTAGAAAAGTCGCTATCAAGACTTACTTACGTCTGTTACTCCCAATTGAGCATAGGCCACTGACCAGCATTCTCCAACTCACTCTCCTGGGCCTTCCGTCCCCGTCCTATCCGATTTTTGTTCATTTTTCTCACGTCTGTCTCTATTTCTCGACGTAATGTGTTCTTTAGTCTTCCTCTCCTCTTTTAGCCTTGAGGATTTCATGGGAGGGCTTGCCTTGTGACGCTTTCCTCAATGTGTGTCCTATCCACTTCCAGCGCTTCTTCCTGATTTCTTCCTCCGTTGGGATCTGGTTTGTTCTTTCCCACAGTACGTTGTTGCTATTAGTGTCCGGCCAACGGATCTGAAGTATTTAGCGTAGTCAACTGTTAATAAACACCTGTATTTTCTGGATGGTCGCTTTCGTGGTTCTCAAGGTTTCCGCCCCATACAGTAGAACTGTCTTGACATTTGTATTGATAATCCTGACAGTTGCTTTGAGTTCCAGATGTTCCTCAGTTGTAAATATGCTGCTCTTGCTTTGCCGATCCGCGCCTTCACATCTGCATCAGATCCGCCCTGTTCATCAATGATGCTGCCCAAATATGTAAAGGTTTTTACATCTTCCAAATCTTCCCCGTCAGTTGTGATTGGATTGGTGCATGCTGTGTTGTATGGGAGAATCTTGCTTTTCTTTTTGTGTATATTGAGACCTACTGCTGCTGAGGCTGCTGCCACACTGGTCGTCTTCTCCTGCATCTGTTGTTGCGTTTGGGATAGAAGGGCCAGATGATCTGCGAAGTCTAGATCGTCCAACTGCATCCTAGATGTCCATTGTATCCCGTGTTTCCCTTCAAATAATGACGTCTTCATGATCCAGTCGATCACCAGGAGCAAGAGAAAGGGTGAGAGTAAGCAACCTTGACTGACACCGGTCTTTACTTCGAACGACTTTGTCAACTGTCCTCCATGCACGATTTTGCAGTTTAATCCATCATAGGAATCCTGTATGATATTGACTATCTTCTGAGACACGCCGTAGTATCGAAGAAGCTTCCATAGTGTTGCCCTGCCAACGCTATCAAATATTTTCTCGTAGTCAATGAAGTTAATGAATTCAATTCAATTGATTGTCCCACAATGGTCCGTAGAGTTGCGATTTGGTCTGTACATGATCTATCCTTATGGAATCCTGCCTGTTGGTCACGAAGTTGGGCGTCTACGCAGTCCTTCATTCTATTTAGCAATACCCTGTTGAAGACTTTTCCTGGTATTGAGAGAAGAGTGATGCCCCTGTAGTTATCACACTTGCTGATCTCGCCTTTCTTTGGTATCAGGTTTCCTTCATTCCAGTCTGTTGGTACTTGTTATTCATCCCGAATCTTGACGAAGCGAATGTGGAGTATCTTTGCAGTTAACTGCTACATCTGGTTTCAGTGCCTCTGCTGGAATGTTGTCTCGTCCAACATTGATTAGGAGGTCCGTGGGTGCTGCTTCGATGTTGGGTGGGTTCAGTAGGGCTGATCGATTCAAGAGTTCTTTAAAGTGTTCTACCCACCTGTTTCGTTGTTCTTCAATGTTGGTGATTACCTTGCCTTCCTTACTTTTAACTGGTGGTTCTTTTTTACGCTAATTTCCGGCGAGTTTCTTTGTTGTGTCATACTATTGTCTCATGTTTCCTTCACTTGCAGCCTTTTCCGCCGTCATTGCTAAATCCTCCACATCTTTACGTTTGTCGGTTCAGATCCTCCTCTTCACCTGCTTGTTTGCTTCTGTGTATTCAGCTGGTGCCTTAGCTTTCTTCGCTTTTGTTCGGTATTCGTTGCTGCCTTCTTGTTCCTCCTATTTTGGATGTTATCCAATGTGTCAACAATGACCCATTCCTTGTGATGGTGCTTCTTGTGGCTCAGAACCTCATGACATGTTGAAGTGATTACCTCTTATCCCTTTCCATTTGCTCTCCATAGTTGTTCTCTCTCCATTGAGTGTTTGTCACTGAAAAGAGTACCAAAGAAGTACATTAACCTTATAAAGGCTCTCTACTCGAACACAACTGGTAGAGTGAGAGCTTATGGCGAACTGTCATCAGAATTGATTACCTCAAGTGGTGTTCGTCAGGGCTGTCCACTCTCCCCATTCTTGTTCAACTTTGTCATTGACGTACTTTTAGAGATAACACTTTCCTCGTCTAGATTTCCAGGGGTTGAACTTCTACCGGGAGGTTCACTTGTTGACTTAGAATATGCTGATGACATAGTTTTATTTGGTGAAGACGCTGACAAAATGCAGAGTGTTCTGACCACTAAACAACAATGCAAGCATGTTCGAGATGCGATTCTCTCCCTCGAAATGTAAAATGTTGCTTCAGGATTGGGTTGCATCGACACCCGAACTAATGATAGGGAGTGAAGTAATTGAGCGTGTCGACCGCTTCACTTATCTTGGAAGTCTCATCAGCCCTTGTGGTCTGGTGTGTGACGAAATCTCAGCACGGATACAGAAGACTCGACTAGCTTTTGCCAACTTGCGTCATTTATGGCGTAGGCGAGATATCCGTCTATCAACCAAAAGACGTGTTTACTGCATAGCAGTTCGTTCCGTCCTACTTTATGGCAGTGAAACATGGCCGGTAAGAGTAGAGGATATTCGTAGGTTAGTAGTATTCGATCATAGGTGTCTTCGAAACATTGCTCGTATGTCATGGGACCATCGAGTAAGTAACACAGCTGTTAGGAAACGGGTACTAGGTAAGGATGGCAAATCAATTGATGAATTAGTGAAACTTCATCAGTTGAGATGGCTGGGACATGTGTTACGTATGCCCAACGACCGACTGCCTCGACGTGCGATGTTCAATGGTACAGGACTAGGTTGGAAGAAAGCTAGGGGCGGCCAGACCAAAACATGGCAAGAATCCATGAAGCCACTGACAAGTGGACTGAGTCATGTTGGTAGGTGTAGACTACCTGGTTGGGGACCGCGAGATGAAAGCAACCGATGGTTAGAGACCTTGAATGACATGGCTCAAAATCGTTTGCAATGGCGCAGGTGCATCCACTCTTTGTGTTTTCCCAAATTCTAATCTTCTGATTTCTTCATGTCCCTTTCTTTTTTCTCTTTCCAAACTTATTTCACTGGATTATAGTCCTTGAATAACATCTTCAAACCCTAATTTTTCTGATTACAGCTTATAATCTTACTACATCTAGCACTACGGGATTTGAATCGACCACTGTATCTCTGTGCTAATGTGGTGTGGCTACTCGAACTGATGTACGTACGTACGTACGAAGTTCTACGTTGGCACTGACTTACTGACCATTGAGTTGATCATGAAAGGCTTGGAACCTATCGCTGAGGACTATCTTGAATTTGTTGAGTTTGTCAGTATCTCGAAGGGAAGCCGTGTAAAACTTTTGTGATATTGTCCGCACTGTTGTCCAGTGCTTCTTGAGTTTCAATTTCATCTTGGCGACCAGCAAGTGGTGGTCTGATGTTATATCAGATCCTCTCTTGTTTCGCACGTCCTCCATCGACCTGAACTTTTTGTTGATGCAGATCTGGTCGATTTGGTTCTGCGTAGTGTGATGTGGTAAAGTCCATGTGGTTTTGTGTATGCGTTTGTGTAGGAATACAGTGCCCCCTGTGACCAGTTTATTGAAGGCACATAAGTTTGCAATTCTCTCATCATTTTCGTTTCTCCTAGTCCATGTCAGTGTCCATATCCGGTGTTGTCCATTCCAACCTTGGCATTTAGGTCTCCCATCAGAATCGTCAAGTCCTCTGTTGGGCACTTCTCGACGATTGACTGCAGCCTATCGTACAATTGATCTTTGACATCTTCATTGTAGTCGTTGGTAGGCGCATAGCATTGGATGACGTTCATTGAAATGCCCTCATTCTTTGTTTTGATAGAGGCTTTGATGATCCTTGGTCCATGAGATTCCCATCCTATAAGTGCATTTTGTGCTTGTTTTAATAGCATCATTGCAAGTCCTTGTGTATGTGGGGTATTTTCTTAATGGCCAGATTATAACAGAAGCTCCCCTGAAGCTAGTCGTTGTTGTCCAATGTGTTTCACTGATCCCAAGCACCTCTAGGTTGTATCTCCTCATTTCTGAAGCAATTTGGAAGACTCTCCCACATTGTACCTAAGTAAATGGTTGCTCTGTTGTTAGAAGGGGCATCGGCCTCGTGGCTCCCGAATGAACTCGGGTTTCACTATGAGGCGTTATAACTCTTTCAAATGAAGACCTGATTCACGGGGCAGAGTTGAAGTGGTTTAAATAACTTTTTCTGGTTAGCGTATTTTTAGCGAGTTAGTTCCCCGCCGGATGGGGTCGCTAACCCCATGTCCAAAACTCCTCCTTTATCCGGGCTTGGGACCGGGAGCAGTCCCAGAGGGGTTCCAGGCGAAATCCGCTATCAAGAATACCCATTAAAATTGAACTCAGTGACAAGAAAGCCAAAAGTCTATTCCAGGAACAACTGAGATCACACTTGGGTAGTTCTAAAAACAAGGCTGACCCAGATGTTGCTTGGAAAGATATGCAAACAGCTGTGTAAACAGCAGCGACATCTATTAGTGATTTAAACCAGAGTTACGAAAAACCAGTGAATTTCTATTAAGTCTATTGCACTGATAGATTCTCGTAAAGTCATTCCATCAGGCTAGGAACATGATGAAGAATCGATCACCATGGCGTAGGTGTTGTTTACACCCTCTGTCTTCCTTTAATCTAAGAGATTAAAATCACTTCATATCTCTTCCTAGGAACTAATTCTTTTTCCCTGTATCATATGCTTATATGAAATCTCTTATTTACTACCATTGAAATAACTGCTTCTATAAATTTGGTGTTCATCTTGTTGTGTTAATGAGGTGTGGCAACATGGATCGATGGAATTACTAACCTACAAACATCGTAGGAACCGATGCCTCAAATGATAAGCTAACAACAAGGATAGTTGCCATTTAACAGTACTTGATATTACGCCTATCAAGTTAATTCTGTTTGACTAATATGATGTTTGCTATTCGAGCGATTATTTTCGTGTCAGCGGAAACAAACATCAGTTTAATATTGTAACCACAAATTAAATCTCTTTCACAATCATATTTTATCTCCTATTTTTCGTAATAACTTATCGATAAAGTCATCATTATATGTTAATAAAATGCACATGCTGATAACATTTGAACTAGCGTGCACAGACCAGCCAACAGAACAAAATTGTATAGACAGAAACATGGGAAACTAGTCAAAATTAATAGAACAATTATGCATTTAGTATATAGAAAGATATAAAATACATAAATTTGGGTGACTGTTCAGTTCTAAAAATTAACGATTGATTTCTGTTGTTATGATAGCCTACAAGACTGTTTGTGAATATAGGAATATCCGTATTAATTTAACATTTTTTCTTATGGCAAGCCTGCTAGTGAACGACACTCATGACTTCACCCAATATTAACACTTTCTATGGAACACCAAGACGTTCGACTGAGCAATCTTAAGGAATATAGTATGTCTGCTAAACATATATTTATAGTTCTGACTTATATTTACCCATTAAGTATGACTTTAAATGTTTGACTTTTTAGCTATGTATTTACATACTTGCTATATATCTTTTAAAAAATATTGTTCTTCCATTTCAGATCGTGGTGTGTATATCCCAACAGTTGCATTATGTTTTTTATTCTTCTATGTCGAGGTTGCTGTAAGATTCCGTGATCCAAAAAGTCAGCCGCTGGGTATAGATCTCTGCAGACCTTTTGCAGCTCATTGGTAAGTTGATAAACTTTGGTTAGATGAGTTACCTTTCCATATAGTTATGTTTAGTAGAGATATTTAACAGCTTTTCTGTGTAGTATTCAAACCCTCCTCAATTAATAAAGCATATGCACTCATAGAAGATATAAATTACTATCAAGAGATGACGTAATCCAAGTTCTTTGGTTGTTTATGCTAGGGATTTTGGAACAAACAAGCTATCTTTCTGTAAGTTCTAGAACCGAACACTGCCACATGAGTTCGGCACCCGAGTAATATTATTTCTCACAAAAAACATGTAGCCAAAAGCCGTGTGGACATCACTGTGTTTAGTTGATACATTTATGAGTGGTATAATTGTAAATCATTCTAAATAACCGGGATAGATTGTATATACGTAGTTTCTACCTTTGGTCTTCTAGTGTTTTCTCGTCGAAGCAGCTTTTTGTCACGGAAGCGCTGAAAATCATATTTACTGTATGAAATTCGATTTGTTATTAGGCTTTATACCAAATGTAATTTTCAAACTAATTTCACATCTATCGAAGATCAATAGCCAGATAGACAGCCTACTCTCATGCTTTGGTAATCAGTATTCCCGTTCCACTGATGTAAAAAAAGCTACGTAGTCTAATATGGGGACCATTGTGTGTGGGGGGGGGAGTGGAGTGCTGTGTAATATATAGCGAAGTAATTTGTGTAATTTTTATATTTTTCGCTACTTCCCAACAAAAGCATTTAGAAACCACATGGACATGTGTGACAGTTTCAGTGATATTTTCTGTTTTTGGTGTTTGTCATTTCCCGTCGCTAGTGATCTATTTTCCATCTCTTATTTAAACAGCTTGTGTGATGATCAGCTTGCACCATATGTTACTCGATTTTTTCCGATTTTAACATTTTAATGTATGCGCTAGATTCTAGAATACTCAATATTTGTTTGAATCAACCATAATTTTAGATATGATCATTTTCTACTTTACTAATAGTTGTAATGAAGGTTTGTTGCTAACGGTGTATTCTATTCAAACCAGTCGGTCAGTCATACAACGTAGAACCGGGCACATATGTGCATCAGTTCAAATTACCACACACAGTGAAATGAAATTATCAATACATTCAGTCATAGTATCAATCAAATAAAATAAGTATAGACAATATAATTCTGGAAGAATGAACCCCGACCGAAGCTGCTACCTTGACGCGGTGGTCGGGCTTGCCTATCGTGATGACCCAACCGAGCTATATTGGCTGGAACATATGTTCCTGTAGGTTCTACCATGCCATGCAGGTCGATTGGTGAACGGTAAGACTAAAAGCAGCAACTCAAGGTCTGAGGGCGAAGTCGTATTGCTGACTGTAGAGGGGTGTGGCAGCCGTAAGGTGTTTCCCTCAGACAACCAGCATGACAGCGATGCTGCCTTCCCACAAGGAGGGGTGGGGTTAGAAAAGGTCGACCCTAAAAATGTCGCACCCCACCTTACCTCACGGATTTCCGTCTCCGGGGGTAAGGCCCTTTAAAGAACGGAGCTAACAAATCAAAAACCTTCCACAAAAAGGCCGTGCGCGACCGACCTCAAGCAGTTGTCTCTTGGGCTCTGTGGTCACGCTCCCAGGTCGTCAAGACCAACACTAATCCAATTTCCTTTTCAGGTTCCTCAAGAAATACCCTTCCACGGTGTGGGCAGCCGGGAAGTGACATCAGCCCTCATACCCGTAACAGCACACGAGACAAAGTTGGTCACATTCAAATCCTTCCTACACCTCCTAATACCTCTCTTATCTCCATGACTAACCCTCCTCACGTCTCTTTATCACCTTGCACCGCTAGGGCAAACGATTCGAGTGCGCGGAACTCTATTCCTGGTCTCCTGAAACCACATCTAAACTACATGTAGAAGCTTTTAACGTACGAACACTGTGCCAAATAGGACAGCAGGCTTCCTTAGCTAGGACTTTAGAATCTTGCGCCATCGATGTGTGCTGCGTCTCCGAAACGCGCATACAAGGTCCAAGTAGCGTCATTCATTTAGCCTCACCATGCCAAAATAAAGAACCGACTCGATTTACGCTTCGTGTATCTGGAAGCCCAGATGCTGCTTCCCGTGGCCTTGCCGGCGTAGGTATAGCATTGAGTCCTAGAACAGAACTGGATCCCGGTAGACAGCCGTTTGTGCGCTGTCCGACTGAACGGAACAGTAAGAATCCGTAAAGATAGGGACACCCGTCGTTGCCTCTCCGTCGTTTCTGCCTATTCTCCCACTGACTGCAGCTCAGATAATGTAAAAGATGAGTTTTACAGAAAGCTTTCCGACCTTCTCCGAAAAGCTAGGCGCTCTGATGTAGTAATAGTGGCCGGTGACTTTAATGCTCAAGTAGGTAAACTAAGCGATAGGGAAAGACACCTAGGTGGATCTCATGGTGTCGTGGCTCAAAGAACAGATAATGGCGACCGTCTGTTGCAGCTATGCTCAGATAACCGCCTGTTCCTTGCAAATACTAACTTTAAGCATAAACAAATACATCTTTTAACGTGGCGACCCCCTAATTCGTCCCAACGTTGGACCCAAATAGATCACATCGCTATCAGCCACCGATGGAGGGGCTCGATAGAAGACTGTCGCTCATTCTGGAGTACATGCTTAGATTCAGATCATGCTCTAGTGAGAGCGCGTATCTGTCTGCGTCTTACTGGACGTAGGAAAGACGCTGCAAGGAAACCTCTTAGGGGCCTACTTAATGATAGTCAAGCTAAGAGTGTATTTGGGGAACAACTAGGACAACAGTTAGGCAGCCATGTATGTGATGCCCACCCCGATGCAGCATGGAATCATATCCGAAAAGCTGTGGAAACAGCAGTGATATCTGCTAGTAAGGTAAACCAGAAGGTTAGGGGGAACACTGAATCTCAGCAGCATCTATCGCACTGATATATGCTCGGAAACTCATTCTACCTGGCAATGAACATAATGAAGAGTGGAGTCAGCTTAAGCGCAAGCTGACAAGAAGCCTACGCAATGATCGCGAGCAGTGCTGGGTAGCGAAAGCAAGAGAGATGGAAAAGGCAGCGGCAATAGGTAATAGCAGACAATTGTTCAGACTTGTTAAGGAAATCGGAATTAGGAACCCGACCGCTAGCGAAACAATCTCAGAGAAAGATGGACATATTATTCATTCTCAGTCCAGGAGATTGGATCGATCGATAGGCAGAACACTTTAGGGATCAGTTCAACTGGCCTTCAGCCACGCTTCGGTTTCCCACGATCTCCAGTTGACCTGAATGGCAAGTTAATGTAGGTCCTCCGACTCTTTATGAAGTTGAAAAAGCCATAAGAAATCTGAAGCGAGGGAGAGCAGCGGGCCCTGACTGGTTCACTCCTGAGATTTTTAAGGATGGTGGTCCAGTATTAGCAGTGAGATTAACTGGACGCAATCCCTTCTGACTGGTCTCAATCACTGATTGTGCCAGTCTATAAGAAAGGACAACAGTTCTCTTGTGACAATCACAGAAGAATCAGTTTGACAAATATAGTATCTAAAATATTAGCCTCAATAATACTTCGACGCCTAATCAAAGCTCGTGAAGAGCAGATTAGAGAAAACCGGGCCGGTTTTCGACCTGGACGTGGTTGTATAGATCAGATATTCACACTACGTCAGGTCCTAGAACACAGACACACATCCAGACGTCCCACAATAGTAGTATTTCTCGACCTTAAGGCGGCATTTGACTCGGTTGATCGTGAGGTTCTATGGCAGTGTTTGTCACTGAAAAGAGTACCAAAGAAGTACATTAACCTTATAAAGGCTCTCTACTCGAACACAACTGGTAGAGTGAGAGCTTATGGCGAACTGTCATCAGAATTGATTACCTCAAGTGGTGTTCGTCAGGGCTGTCCACTCTCCCCATTCTTGTTCAACTTTGTCATTGACGTACTTTTAGAGATAACACTTTCCTCGTCTAGATTTCCAGGGGTTGAACTTCTACCGGGAGGTTCACTTGTTGACTTAGAATATGCTGATGACATAGTTTTATTTGGTGAAGACGCTGACAAAATGCAGAGTGTTCTGACCACTAAACAACAATGCAAGCATGTTCGAGATGCGATTCTCTCCCTCGAAATGTAAAATGTTGCTTCAGGATTGGGTTGCATCGACACCCGAACTAATGATAGGGAGTGAAGTAATTGAGCGTGTCGACCGCTTCACTTATCTTGGAAGTCTCATCAGCCCTTGTGGTCTGGTGTGTGACGAAATCTCAGCACGGATACAGAAGACTCGACTAGCTTTTGCCAACTTGCGTCATTTATGGCGTAGGCGAGATATCCGTCTATCAACCAAAAGACGTGTTTACTGCATAGCAGTTCGTTCCGTCCTACTTTATGGCAGTGAAACATGGCCGGTAAGAGTAGAGGATATTCGTAGGTTAGTAGTATTCGATCATAGGTGTCTTCGAAACATTGCTCGTATATCATGGGACCATCGAGTAAGTAACACAGCTGTTAGGAAACGGGTACTAGGTAAGGATGGCAAATCAATTGATGATTTAGTGAAACTTCATCAGTTGAGATGGCTGGGACATGTGTTACGTATGCCCAACGACCGACTGCCTCGACGTGCGATGTTCAATGGTACAGGACTAGGTTGGAAGAAAGCTAGGGGCGGCCAGACCAAAACATGGCAAGAATCCATGAAGCCACTGACAAGTGGACTGAGTCATGTTGGTAGGTGTAGACTACCTGGTTGGGGACCGCGAGATGAAAGCAACCGATGGTTAGAGACCTTGAATGACATGGCTCAAAATCGTTTGCAATGGCGCAGGTGCATCCACTCTTTGTGTTTTCCCAAATTCTAATCTTCTGATTTCTTCATGTCCCTTTCTTTTTTCTCTTTCCAAACTTATTTCACTGGATTATAGTCCTTGAATAACATCTTCAAACCCTAATTTTTCTGATTACAGCTTATAATCTTACTACATCTAGCACTACGGGATTTGAATCGACCACTGTATCTCTGTGCTAATGTGGTGTGGCTACTCGAACTGATGTACGTACGTACGTACGAAGTTCTACGTTGTTACTGACTGACTGACTGGAAGAATGAACGAAGTAGCGGAATAGAAAGTATAAGATAATTTTAAAACTAAAAATCTAGAGGAAGAAAAGGATTGAATAATTTTGTATCATTGCTATCAAACCTGAGCCATGTCACCGAATGTTTTCAACTACCAATCCTAATCGTCATACGGACCCTAACGAAGTGGTATGCATCTACTTACTAGGCCCAACCCAACATCGAATGACTCAATAGACTCATGCTACATTTTGGTCGCTCTTGGCTTTCTCCAACGTATTCCTACATCGATAAATATTGTGTGTTGATGTTAGACATTGGTTGGACACTTAGTACATACTTTAACCAGCTCAGTTGATAAACTTCCACTACCTCACTAACTGTTTTTCCATTCTTTCTTATCATCTTGAATTTAAACTCAACGTTGCTCACCCAATGATCCTAACATTTGCAACCAGTGCTGCAGATCTATCCAAACAACAGTGCATCATTTACCGCGAATTTTTTCTGGAGAACTCATGAATTTCAAATTTCTTATATCCTTATTCGGTAGCTTTAGTGGGACTTTTAATGACTGAATAGCTTTGGCTTAGTAGCGACAAGTGTAGATCGATATTGTCAATCCTTTCGAAAGAGTAAGAGCCGTAAGGTTCGATTATACTTGTCATTCTCTGTCACAGTCATTGGTTTGTCTATCTCTTTGGGATTTAAAAATGCGCCTATCCAATCACTTTCATCACTACTACTTACCTCCGAATGTTGATCTAACCAAACAGCGCTCAAATCTCTTATTCCTTGATGTATTCGGAGTTTTAAAATATGCTTCACAGCAGACTATTCGTCTTTCTAAATTATTTATCTGGAATGCTCTGTACAATCGTTTTTCGAAACGTACAATACTTATTTGTAGCTCAAATCAGAATTTTAATCCTCACTTCATTGTTTTCCTGTCCATACACAGTCGTCAAATACACCATTTTTATGTCATGGTTTTATCATCTTATGTATTGTTCTTTCTCACTAGCATTGGCTATCCCGTTGTAACTTTGGGTTTCAGTTTAAAGAGCATGATCTCACATCATTTTCGTTTGGTAAGTAGACTCATTATATGCATTTGTTATTTAATTCAATGTACATTTGTCCGAGTCACTCATTAATTCATACTTATATAAATAATTTATCTCAATTTAGTGGATGTACAGGCAAATAGTTTCATAATTAAATTTGTGATTTTGTATTAGTATCAAATTTAGACTAATAGAAGCTTCTTGAGCTAATTTCGCCATTCCTTAATAATGAAGTATGTATATTTTCAGCTTTTCTAGATCTTCATTTACAAAAATTAGTCAAACTTACTGAAATCGAAAAGCATGTATGTGACGCATTTAGTTGGCTAAATCACACACTTTTACAATAACTTTTCTATTATTTTCTATTTTATTTAGTTAGGTCCTCCATCCCTTGATATATAAAGTATTTTGAATGATTACGAAATAATTTCCTCCTCCTGCCATTCTCGGGTAATGATATACGATTGATTTCTTATCAGCCAATAGACCTCTTCAAATAAAAAAACCTTAAGTTGATTCTGGTCGAATTCTTAAAATGTAATGTATTTCTTAACATTGACAGCCAGAAAATATTTGACTTATAACTAATGTACAATGTTTTGTAATCCGTCTTTGGAATCTGGCCGTCACTAAGAGAAGGGTTATAGATTAGCTAATGTAATTCTTAGTTTCAACAGTATGAGGTCATAAATAAATTTTTAACAAAGTAGGTCATCTACCTTTTCCATATATTCTTATAGATTAAACCAATCGGACCTTTTTTTTTCTAAATAGTCGCCATTAAGAATGATACTTTTGTGGTAAAAGTATTAGTAAGAAGAACTCACATTCGCTGCTGAACTGTTTAACCTTAATACTGTACTCAACTAAGTACATACATTTGATTCATGAGTCTATAAGTAGATAGGTGGTCAACAACTTTTCACTGCACCATAATGCATGAAATGTGTTTTGTTTCGAAATAATTGTTAGCACCTTCCAAAGTTCTGGACTGTTTATTTATTGGACTAAACTGATAGTGATGCACTGCTACTATGAACATACTACTTTGTTTAAGTGCTAATTGTAGGCTTGTGGTTTGATATAAGGTCAAAAGTTGAATTGTTTATTCATATTTATGCACTGGTGTACTATAGATCTTACATTTAGATATGTATGACATTATAATTAGTAACATGAGGTTTTTTGATTTAAACACTTGCTGGTTTTGTGTTATTGAAGTTTTAATTAGGAAGGATAGCATGAGATCTCATTAAAATACACTCTTAAATAACAATTGAGATAAGGTTTAATTAAGGATAAAATAACTAACCATTATTGTTTTTAATGACATTTTCGATTTTGACACCAAACCTGTCAGTATGCATATACCTATTTTGAATTGTTTTTTCCATTAAACCCAAAACATAAATTGGACACTAATTTTCTGAACATTTCGGACTGAAATATATTAGTAAACGTATTATATCGTTTATCAGAGTCATTTTCGCCAAGAGATATGTTCTAATGTCTTGGGAATTTTCTGTATATGACCCTGTTTTCCTCTTTTGACGAGAATAATGAATTTAATAATATCCTTGTGAAACCCTGTACTACTGCACCATATACTCACAAATTGGTTAACAAACAAACATTTCGCCTGCGACACAGGTGACATATGCCAGACAAGCACTTTTATCATTACAAAGATTTTGGTAGTCACCAAATGTTTATCATCCGTCAATACGTTCTTAGGCAATGGTAATTTGGAAGATGCCCAGAAGTCTTTGAGTTCCATAAAACTCAGTGTGCAATGAATATGAACTTAGTGACTACTTCAGAAATTGTTTCAATATGTTCTTGCTCATCTAAATCCCCGCTAGTGTAAAATTCCACAATAATGAGTAAGAGCTTATGAGGTCGATAAAGTATCATCTAATGGCTTCAGAAAACACAGAACGTAACCATTTTAACTAAGTAATCAAGTAAATATTCGTGTAATGGACTTTATGTCGCATATTTTTTTCAGTAGTAATAACACTACTTAGCTATTCAAACTAATGTAAACAGCTCGGCTATAACTCGCAACCCAGTATTTAGAAATCGAGTGACTCAGTTATTGATTTACCTTCATGCATTTGATGCAGTGCATATTCCATTTAAATGATCATATAAAGGAGTGAGGGTGTGCTGAATGTATTCCATCTCTATACGGAAAAATTCTTAGTAAAGTAAGCTCAGCTTAAACATCTTTAGCACCATTGTAATGTTCGTCTAACTTTGTAAAAATAAAGGGATAATTCTTATATCGAATTTTCATTGTATCTTCTCTTATCTACAAGTAATAAAATAGTAATGTTTCCTAAAAATCACCGTTATGTAATTATTTCATTTGTTTCAATGCGTAGTACTACCTTTTATATTTTCATAATCACATGCCGTTTTATTTGGTGCATTTCTAAATACCTTAGATATGTACTAATTTGTTTAATGTACTTTAAATATTGCCCCGTTAATAGAACGTTTTTGTTGTAGATGTATTTGATTTTGTAGTTAGCTGCTCCAAGGAATATACTCAAGCTTGTTTTCTGTTACTTATCCAGTATACAGCTAACAAGTGCTTTACTTCTGTTTACCTCCGACAACCAGCATCTCCAGCGATTCTCTCTTCTCACAAAGTAAGGAGAGTGTTAGGAAAGGTCAGTCCTATGAAATTCACACCTCATCTCACCCTTCGGATTTCTGTCTCCGGTAGTAGAGGATTTCAAAGTGCGGAGCTAACACATCAGAACTTCTCATGAAAAGTCTATGAGTGACCATCGTCAAGCAGTTGTCCCTTATACTCTACGGTTAATCTTCCAGATCACTAAGGCTTTTACCCGGTTTACTTTCAGGTTCCTCAACGAGAAATATCTTTTCGCAGTCTGAATAACATCCGACAACACCAGAGATAATCTTGTTGATAATCAAATCCCTCTCTCGCCTCTTAATATTTTTCCTATCCTTATCGCCATGCGTCACCAGTGCTAATGATTCTAGTTCACGAAATGTTATTTCTGGTTCCATGAAACCACGTGTTGGAGCTTTCAACGTCCAACGACAACCAACCTCTTTAGCTGGGACTCTAGAATCTCGTGCCATCGATGTATGTGGCGTATCCGAAACGTCCATGATGGATCCAAGTGCAGTCACTCATTCAAATAAAAAGGCCAATGCTATTCATCTTCTGTGTATTTACAGTCCCCACTGCTACTTCCCATGGTCTCGTTGGTGTAGGTATTGCATTCGGTTAAAAAATAAGATAGGGTCTCTTGTAATGGATTTTTATAGACAATGGCTCGTGCACTGTCCGACCAGACTGGATAATACAAATTCAGAAAGATGTGGATACACACCGTTGATTTTGCCTGTGCTCCCAATTCTTCTTATTTGGTTGAAGCATACGATGAATTTTATAGGAAACGTGCAACTTTCAAAAGGCTAAATGCCCGTATACAGTAATAGAAATAAGTGATTTTGATGCGCAAGTAAGTAGTTTAAATAAAACCGAAAGGTACTTTGATTGACCTTACAACACCGCGGCCCACCTAAGAGACTGCTGCAACTATGCTCGTATAACCGTTTATTTTTAGGGAGCAGTAAACATCGTCTGACATGGCGACCCCTTCAATCGACTTAACGATGAACTCAAACCATATTTCCATCAGTCATTGGTGAAGAGGGTCGATTAAAGACTGTCACTCATTCTGGAACATATGTTTAAACTCAGATCACGATTTAATGCGCGAGCACGTATTTGTCTAAATCTTATTAAACACGGAAACAGAACTCCTTAGATTTCCATTTAATGGTGAAAAAGTGAAGAATGTATCTCAGTAACGACTTAAGAAGGAGTTAATCAACCATGAAATTGATATCCAACGCGAGGTGGCTCGGCGTGGAATCCAAACACCAGTGTTATCTAGCGGTAACTTGAACCAAAAGGATAAAAAAAATCAGTGGGTTTCAGCGGCGTTTTCTGAACTGATAGATGCTTAGAAACTCATCGGAACATGATGAGTAGCGGATGTGGCCTAAACATAGGGCGATAAAAAACCTACTCAATGATCGTGAGCAGTAGTGGGTATCAAAAGCGAAAAAGTAGCGGCGATAAGAAACAATACACTACTATTCATATTTATCATGGATACATGCATAAAAATCTGGCTGCTCGTAAAACTTTCTCGAAAAAAGATGGAACTATTATTCACTCTGATTGTGAGGTTCTGCAGCAGTATCTGTCATTGCAAGGGGTTACCAAATAAGTACATTAACCCTGTACAGACTCTACTTGAACACTCCTGGTGGAATCTCACCATTCCTTCTCAACTTTGCCATCGATGACATTCTGAAAACAGCTTTGATGGATGTAAGTAATGGTGGTGTGGATCTATTGCCTGGAGAAAGACTTCTCGACCTTGAGTATGCGGATGATATTGTGTTACTGTGCGATAATGTCCAAGCCATGCAATCCACACTTAATCAGTTGACAATCAGTGCCAGTAAGTATGGTATGTTGTTTGCACCTTCGAAGTGCAAAGTACTTCTACAAGACTGGCAGGACCCTGAACCTGCACTCACCCTGGTTAGTGAGCGGATAGAAGTAGTCGAGAAGTTCACGTATCTGAATAACTGGGTAAGTGCTAGCGCAGGCGTATAGTGAAAGCCAGAGCGGCCTATACCAATCTGGGCCATCTTTGGCGTCTTCGTGATGTAAACGTCAGATCTACAACGCGTCGGTGAGAGCGGTTTTGTTCTATGCTTGTGAAACCTGGCCTCGCCGAGTTGAGGATGTTAGACAACTCTCTGTGTTTGATCATCGTTGTCTCCGAAGGATTGCTGACATCCAGTTGCATACCATGTTAGTAATGCAGAGGTTAGGGATCGTGTGTTCGAGCACAGTGTCAACCATCCATTTGGTGTCACTTCGGTGGCTTGGACATGTTCTACGAATGTCGTCCCAGAGAATTCCACGTCGTGCATCATTCGCCGACGGTGGGACTGGCTGGAAAAAGCGGATAGGTGGCCAGTGTATGACATGGTGTCGTGGTATGAAGGGAAGTATACAGGATTGGCGCCTGTTAGTCCTTCACGACTCTTTGGTTGGGGTCCTAGAGATGGTGCAACACAGCGGCTAGAGACTTTATTAGATATGGTTCAGAATAGAAGCCAGTGGCGATCCTGCTGAAGTTTTTTCTTTCTTTATGTTGGTGAACGTAACTTCTTTAACTGAAAGCATTCTCTGTGGTTGTATCTTAACAGAACTGTTTCTCCCATTATAATAATAATTTCATTCTTACACACTAGTTTCCGTTCGTTGTTCTTCTTTTACTATATGCGCTCTACATTCTCTATCGCTTCACAACCTCACTGTTATTGTTTGGCGAGTATGTATTCGGTGCCTCCATTGTACCAATGTTTATGTTTTCAAATAATAATACTACTAATCTAGTCAGCACATATGGAATTGTCAATCTCAAGTGGTTTTATTCGGGGCTATCCACTTTCGATATTTTTATTTTACTTCGTCATAGACAACCTTTTAGCGATAATGCTCTTATCGTCTGACTTTTCGGGAGTTGATCTACAAAGAGATTCATTTGTTGACTTTGGATACTGAGATGGCATAGTTCCGTTTCATAAAGATACTGAAAAATTCCGAGGTCTCCTGACCTTAAGCAGCAATCCAAGTATATTTCGGATACGTTTTTCTGTTCAAATCCAAAATGTTGCTTTAAGACTGGTCTACACCAGCGCCTGCATTATTTATGGAAAGTGAAGTAGTTAAACATATCGATCGCTTCAATTGTCTTGGGAGTCATATCAGTCCTAATGGCTTGGTGTATGATGAAATCTCGTTATGTATTTATAGGGCTCGATTGGTTTTTGCCAACCGGCGTCACTTGTGGCGTGGGTGAGATCTTTGTCTGCCAGCCAAAGGACGAGTTTATTGCTCAGCAGTTCACTCTGTCCCACTTTGTTTGTGTGAAACTTAACCATTATGGATAGAGGATATCCGTATGTTACTGGCATTTGGTCATAGGTATCTTTGAACGATTTTGGTACCGCCAAGTAAACAATCCCGAAGTTTCGGATAAAGATGGCAAGTTGATTAATAAAGTAGTGAATCTTCATCCACCAAGTTGGTAGAGACATGTATTTCTTATGCCAGACCATCACCTTCCTTTGTTTTAAGATTTAGGAGTAAGAACAGATTAGAAGAACGCTAGGGGCTGTCAAAGTAAGACAAAATACCAATGTACTAAGTCGTTAAAAATTGGACTGAGTCATGTAGGTAGTTGTAGACTACATGGTTAGGGGTCGCGTGGTTATTGCAACTTATTGTTAGGGACTTTAAATCTCATGATTCAAAGTAGTTCTTAATGGAAGAAGGACATTTATTTCTTGTTTTCTTCCAGAACCTAGTTCCGATATCACCCTATAAATTTCCATTTTTATTATTATTGATACTGTTACTACTTCTGCTACTCTGAGATTTGTCATGAAGTTTTTTTTCTGTGCTAATGTGGCAAGTTGAACCGATGCTCATATGGATAATAAAATAGTTATCGCTTAAGTTTATTTGTTTACTGCAAATTTTTAATTTGTTCGTGTGATTCATATATTCCTAATTCACAGAGAAGACAAAAGTTTGTGGAAGCACAAAATATAACGTTTTTTTCAATTCTGGAAGAGGCATTACCAAAGGAACTTTGGTGCTATTTAAAATCAGGTAAGTTTCGATTCTTTCATCTTAGATTTTTTCTGCGTTTACGTCACTCGCACAAAACAGACTACTGGTAACAATAACTTCTCCACGTTTAGGATATTTAAGAGTAATGGATTTTTTTATTGTTTATCATTATCATCAGTTAAGTCTGTAAAATACTAGTAGTCATATTTCCATTTTTATCCAGGTTTTATAGTGAAATACATACTTTAAGAGCTTGTTTCATACGAAATCTAAAAACGTATGCCTAGCACTTAATGCCGCTGTATTGAAATTCATTGAATATGTTTCGTAATATGGTTTTTTTGTAGATTTGCTTTTTGGACTCGTTGAGACACTTCAAATTGTCAAGAAAATCCTCTCACATTCCCTTTTTTTATATGTATGTTTCCATTTTCAAGAATCTTTACAGAATCGCAGAAGTAACTGCTAGATACTGTTAAATACTTTTGTGTACTTTTTCTTCGTACATCCAATCACAAGTAAAGGATATTAATAATAATGTGTTAAACAATATTAAAGACCTGGAAATTAATTAACGACCACCAGTGATTGATAAACCCACATCGATGTACCTTTTGAGTATTAGAAGCAGTCGCGTATTTCATTAATTGGTTCTGCCTCTTGATTTTGACTATCAGACCTGTATTCTAACTGTGTTCAACTTCACTCATCTTAGTATTGAATCTATAAATTATAGAATGTTTATGTATTTAAGTCATTTTAAGAATTATGAAGGTAGTGTAATAGAACTCAAATTGACCTGCTAATCATAACCTGTTAGATGTTCTTCAGAATCTTGAGAGTATAATGCCTCACTTTCCCAACTAGTAAAATATGACAAGTTAGCTGGAGTTATAAGTCAGCTTTCTGTGTTCCATAACCATTGTTCTTTTCTAGTCGCGTACATATTACAACGTTGTTCAATGACAGCAATTTTTAAATCAGCTCATTTAATTTGGGTTTCTACACATGAGAAGCAGTGAAAATATGATAAGTTCATCTTATGACACTAAATTTAAGAAGTGTTTTTTTAAAAACTTTTTTCCTTGCATTATAATTCATGATATTATCACAATCTTTATTGTTGTATGTACTTTAGTGGTATTATTGTGAACGAGAACACAAGTGTGGACAACGAATGTATTTTAATACAAAATTACAGAGTATCTTGGTAAAATTCAAGAACCATACACTGAATACTTCTACAAATTTTCATCATTTGTCTCTCACATTCTGTATGATTCTTCAAGTTATCAATTCCTTTCTATTTTCCATTGTCTTCAACTCTGGCTTCTTAGCCTTTTGTTACCAGGTTTGCTACTTCCGATTGGTGTTACACACCACTTATGTCTGTCGATATAAGTACCATTTTATTAGGTGGACTGTGTGCATCAAAATAATTGTAATAAGAGATTTAAGGATTTATAACTTGGTCTAAATTAGTTTTTTTTTGAACTTTCGTTTGGTCACAGAACCCATAATTTTCAAGTGACATTTTCAACAAAATGTCATTTTTCTACACTGAATATCCACTTTATTGAACTAAGGAATTTTGGTTAATTTGTTGATAGGTATAATAGCAAGTCAACTTAAGTACCATTATGTAATTTCAAATTTATTCTGATTTCGATTGATAATTTGGTTTTTTTTGTGTTCAGGCTATGGTGGGACGTAATATCATCTATTGTTCAAGTACCTCATTATATTGAAGTGCCTCATGTTTTCTGTTTTTTCTTTCGATAAAGACACCATTCCTAAATCTAAACATTCGAATATGGTTTGTGAAAATAACTGTTCAACACTGGCTATTTCTTCTCCCACATCCACTGTGCCAAATTTAACTTCATCTGGAAATATATCTGAATTAAATAGAGTTAACCCGATTCATTCCAGAGATAAAGAAATTCATCCTGCCTCAAGTGTTAATAAGAAGAATATGTCTCTGAATCATCCCCGTACAACACGCCTCGTCTATTCATCTACTCGTGGTGATAATTGTACGGATCTTTCTCTATGTTCAAATGATAGTAGTGTTTCACAAGAATGTACATTTCGGTTAGGAAACGATGAACCAGTGAATAACCATACTTCTGTACCATCATCACTTTCAGAGCAGGTACATTTTATATAATTTTACATTTATATTAAGGAGAACAGTTATGTACTTTTATTCAGTGAGATTATCACTGTCAAATTAGAAAAATATGACGTTAACGTACTCTAATAGACGATTAGTCCATATATTTCTATTTACTAGTTACTATCTTGAATTGTAACTAGTTTGTTTTATGACTCTACTTTTAGTCAAGTAATCATCAGTTAGGTTGCATAAATTTACTTCGTAGGTACTCACTTAAAACTTTCACTCATCTCACGTTTTATGCGTTTCAGCGAAAAATTACAAGGCCACTACGATTGTATTCTGTCAATAATGAAGAAACAATGTCAAATTGCTGGTTTGTAAAATATAAAAATTACTTTTGTGTCAGAGTCCAGTTTATTTAAGGCAACTGCGTAGTAGCTGCAATCTCTTGCAAAAGCAGTGACGATCATTTATAACATGAAATAACCTTTCACAGGTGTTCACATACATAGGAAATCGTTTTAATTTGGCACGAATAGTAAAAAAGAGTTTGTATTTAAACTCAATACTTCGTAATTCAGAAAAACAGGCTTATTCTAGCTGTTTAAGTTATTTCTGAATCTTTTTATAAGTTCCTCGCCACAAAGTTTTGTTTCCTATCCTACATTCTTAGCCTGAATCGTATGTGGCCGTCTCTCTCGCTCAAACGATCATTGTAAAGGTTCCATCTGTCCCTAACTCTGTTGTTCCGGATACTGTTTCTGCTGACAATCATATAGAGAGGGACACTGATATGAAGGAGGATAAATTAGTTCACAAAAAATCCACGTCACTACTTGCTTCAGTTACATCTGGTTTATCAACTTCAACTTGTTCTAATTCAACTAGTAATAATAGTAGAGCCAAATTGAACTGTACACCATCAAATTCAAAATCTTGTGAAACAAAACAATCACCTCCATCAATCAATATTGCTTCAAATAAAACAACTCTTTCTAATAATTCGAATGTAAGTTCAGCTTCTTCTGGGGCTGCTGCTAGTAGTAGATCCAATACATGCGGTTCAACCTCATTATCAACTGGTTGTAAATCAGGCGGTAAAAATGCTAACAAGGATGAGTATACTTTAAAGTTAGTTTTCTGTTATTCTTAATTGGATTCTTGAAATACTGTTTTATATAAGTTACTTATATGACATCAAAGGAACTTAATAACCAAGCATGTATTTACGTATTAAGCTCTGATCCTTGTTTTATTCGTTTAAATCACACGTTATCAAGTTACTGTATGTACATGAGTTAATGCAACTACGAGAGTTTGAGAACGTCATGATTTTTATACAAGTGAATTCTAATTGTATTTTAACGAATCTGGATCATGTGGGATATCCAAAGCCTTTCTGCTACTACTGTACATACTTCCCGCTATCCAAACCAAACAATGTTGATAAGAGTTGAATTCGGTGACAGTTTTGAGAGGACAATCAGTCCCTCCACTTATCTTCAATCCTACCAATCTTTAACGTTCAGAAATAACGAACCCTCAACTTAGTTTAAAAATCTAAACTTAAGTACTCAGATGCAGTCGTAATATATCTCGTGTTTAAATCCCTAAATATTATAAAGTCTCATTACAATCCAGCCACTCTGATTGCTTAGTATTCTTCGAACACGGTTGAACAGGAACTTAATTATATGTCCCAAATAAACAAGGTTAAGAGGGATCAGAATCACAATAAGAAAAACGTTAGTATATTAGTAATTTTACACGAGAATATTCTAGTGTTTTCTTCAAGTATCCGCTAGTGCTGACTGGCTAAGTCATGTCCATTCATTCAAACTATTTCCCACTAACACAAGTTGCACTATGTTTAATAAAACGTTAAACATGAATAATATTTCTGACATCCACAATATTACTGTTATTTAGAGCTCAATTTCGTGTTTTATAAAAGTTAAGAGAACTTAACAGATATCAGCATTAGACTAAGTAATTTTGACACCCACGAACAGATCAAAGAGAGTGACCTTCCTAACATCTATCAGTCATTAGCTTATTAGAATTCAGGTTGTGTAAATGAAAGTTGTATGAAAAAAGAACGGCAAAACTATAGTGAATGTCGAGTTTTAATATGATTAATAAATATGTAGATGCTAGCCATGAGTTCAATAAAACAAAAATCAGAATAAATTCTACACCAAAACTTGTCCATATAGCTCTAAATCATTGCATATTTAGAACATTTATATGTTCAAGGGTTGTTCTTTAATCTTAACCACTTAATTTCTGCATTATTAGTGTGTACACCTGTCGTCGGGTCTACAAACGTTTGTTTATGGACGACCCTTCAATAAATGTAGTCTCGTTTGTGAAGGCGTGTTTAGGCCCTTAATCATCTGTGTACACTGTCGTCCTAGATAAGACATACTATCCTACTATAGGTAAAACGGTTTATTTTTATTATTTAAAGCCCACTGAAAATAACCTTTTTGTGGTATTTAGTCCTGTATTCCGCATACCTGCCAATTATTTTGAAGAAAAAGCTACGTACCCAAACCGCATGTACACTTCTCTCTATTATACTTTCTTTTCCGAACAGCTATTTTGACGCTTCATTCTCCACTTTGAAACACACTTCTCGACAGTAGCGATACCACTGTACTGCTGTTACGTCTCTCAGCCCATAGTTATGTAAGGTGCTATCCCTCAATTGTCTAGGGTTCTATAACTAATTCTTGATCACGTCATTCAGAATTGCCGAAATTTGAAGTCCAGTCAAAAATATAAGTCCCAGCAACAAACTATCTGTAATTGTTTTTCAGAATTCAAACAATCTAACACATTTATTAATCAATCGTGTAATCTGACAAATCTGTGAATATTGTCGTCGCTTCAGTCTATGATCTTTAGCACTGAGTCTGCTAACACAGTCACTGTGTATGCTAACAATCGATAGCCAACACAACTACCTCAATGGATATCAACCAGGATACCAGAAAAACCAGTCAGCTTTATCTTATATTCATATATTCTGATTTAAAGATTCACGTTATTATGTACATAGAATAACAAACGCAACGCAATATAAATATTAATTCTAATTGTATACATAACTAGAGCATTTGTGATACAGATCTCAGCAATAAGTCTGACTTATTTGTTGTAATTTACGGTCAGTAGAAGACGTATCAAATATTAAGGAAACAAAATTAGTCAAGTAAAATCTTGCGATTAGAACCAAGTAAAATACCATGAACCAGTTGTTTGGTAGACGCAGGTTAAATTTACAAATATACCAAATCCCTAGACAATAATTCTCACAGATTTATCACATTTTCACCAATCGCTTCATCAAGATAAATTTCACCGTCAAAACTTGATGCAATATTTTTCTAGATACATTTTTGTCTGCACATTTGTAAAGTTAACTCCACCACATATCATATATACAAAAATTTTGTTATTGTCAAGTTTCTAATATATATAGAATTAGTGGTTATTTCATCCAATTATTGTATTTCTTAGGTCATTACTGGTTCCCAGTATTTGCATTATCATCCGAATTCAGAGTTTTTTGAGTTTCACTGCTAATGTTTTTTCAATGCGAAACTTAGGGAATATTTTGTTACAGTTAAAACTACGTATTATTATTATTATTATTTCCATAGACATAAAGACATAAAGAGTTCATCATTTCTCTGCCTGAGTTTATCAACATCCTAAAAGCCCTGTATAAAAACACCTCAGGCAGAGTGAGGGCATACAACCACCTCTCTCCATTGTTCCATTCGAGCAGTGGGGTTAGGCAGGGTTGCCCAATCTCACCGTTCCTCTTCAACTTTGCCATCGATGACATTCTGGAAACAGCTCTGATGAATGTAAGTAATGGTGGTGTGGATCTGTTGCCTGGAGAAAGACTTCTCGACCTTGAGTATGCGGACGATATTGTGTTACTGTGCGATAATGCCCAAGGCATGCAATCCGCACTTAATCAGTTGGCAATCAGTGTCCGTAGGTATGGTATGCGCTTTGCACCTTCGAAGTGCAAAGTACTTCTACAAGACTGGCAGGATTCTAATCCTGTACTCACCCTGGACGGTGAGCAGATAGACGTAGTTGAGAAGTTCGTGTATCTGGGTAGCTGCATAAGTGATGGTGGGGGTGTGAGTGATGAGATCAATGCACGAATAGTGAAAGCCAGAGCGGCTTATGCCAATCTGGGCCACCTTTGGCGCCTTCGTGATGTTAGACTGGCTGTAAAAGGCCGGATCTACAACGCGTCGGTGAGAGCAGTTTTGCTCTATGCTTGTGAAACCTGGCCTCTCCGAGTTGAGGACGTTAGACGACTCTCTGTGTTCGATCATCGCTGTCTCCGAAGGATTGCTGACATTCAGTGGCAACACCATGTCAGTAATGCAGAGGTTCGGCATCGTGTGTTCGGGCACAGAGATGATAACTCAATTGGTGTCACCATCTTGAAACACCGACTTCGGTGGCTCGGACATGTTCTCCGAATGTCATCCCAGAGAATTCCACGTCGTGCATTATTTGCCGACTCTGGGACTGGTTGGAAGAAGCGGAGAGGTGGTCAGTGCATGACATGGTGTCGTGGCATGAAAGAAAGCTGCAAAGGACTGGCTTGTGTTGGTCCTTCACGACTCCCTGGCTGGGGTCCGAGAGATGGTGCTACACAGTGGCTAGAGACGTTATCAGATATGGCTCAGAATAGAAGCCAGTGGCGATCCTGCTGTAACCTTCTTTTACTTTCTTCATAAAAAGTGGTTGTGTCTCCTTTACCTGAAAGATTTCTTCTGATTGTACCTCTTCGTCATTACTCTCTTTTTCTTTTGCGTTCCTTAGCTTTTTTTTTCTTTCTACTTCTCTTCGAATTCCCATTGTTTTGTGTGGCGCATATATATTGGCGCTTTCTTGTACCAATATTTATGTGTTCAAATAATAATAATTATTATTATTACTATTTCTATTGTATGTGCTAGTATGTAGCAGCAATCAGACGTGGAATGCCTGTCAGCAGAACATTGAAATGAGGAGAGCAGTAAGGAAATCGGAGAGTAATCGAAACAACAACAGAATTAAAGGAATAGTGGGATATGTAAAGGGCAACGCAAAGAAACTGTGCAAATAATATATTTAATGCATGATTTTCACATTTTACTAATCCACTTCAATTTAGCATAAAACAATAAATTGGTTTGCCCCACCTGAGTTCTCCTTCTCTACACTACTACATAGTGGGATTGATTTCATCAATTACATCATCGATTACATAATACATCCTTCGATATTCAGGACCAATAACCGGTTTTAGATGCTTTCATTATTGTCGTGATACAACTATCTATCTACCTGATTAATTGAACACAAAGCATGACATTAGATCACAAATTTAAGTCGTAAATTTTCGGTGTGGTGAATCAAAAGAAAAGCAAATTCATAAAAAGACCCTTAAACATCGGTTCAATTTTCACTAACCGAATGTTCAAAATAAGTTAATCGACGGTCAATACTCCATCATTTCTAAGTGTAAATAAATTTATTTACATCTTGATCACTTCTCTCGTCTTGGTAGTTTTATCTGTCCTGTTAGTTTGACAGATAATAGAATATCAATATGGACACAGTCTGTTTGATTTCAGTTTCATTAAGCCACTTGTCCACGAGGTTGTGATATCCAGTTATCTGTCAATAAGTAAACATACTATACAGGAGTCCACTCTTGAACCATACAACCGGTACTTCACCACAAATGTTTCTGAATTACTTTTCTCATGGTCAAGCCTCCAAGTCAACAATGAAGTTGTAGGATGTGGATAATTAGACAAAAGAGGATTCTGAGAACCTTCATCGACTGGGGTGTAAAACTTTGGTTATTCACCCACAACCTCATATTTTGTCTACCCGGTAAAATAGAAGCAGGTTAGATGAAAATTAAGTGTATCCTGACTAGACCATAATAAAAGTTTAAAAACTCACTAACCGGTGGTCTAAGCCGTGGAGATCTACCCCTCCCAACTGAGGTTTGCAAACAATAATCATAGACATTTCGAGGCCATCTTTTATGACTTTGAATCTGTCAGTGGTATAAATATTATTGATGAAAGTATTTTATTATTTATTATAGTTTGGTGGTAAATTGGTGATTAGTTGATAATCACTGAACCACTAATCGTACTTCAGTTCAATATACTTTTTATGGTCAACCACATAACGTTGCTAAACTCCGATCTATAGTTGTCAGTTCAGCACATTCACATATCGATTATGACTAATATGTTGTTGCTTTTATTTCAATATCTGTTTCGTAGGTTTGTATGATCTATTCACAATTTTCTTCATTTTGGATTATTATCTAAATTGCAGACTAGAAGCTGAGGCTAGAAATTTAAAATCGGAAATCCAGTCTTTACGTAGTTCAGAAATTCAGTTACGTGGTCAAGTTCAGCAGTTACTTGCTGCTGAACGAACATATCGCTCTGAAAGTTCTCAAGCTCAGCAAGAATCTGAAAGTTTGCAAGCCAAGCTCAATCAATTGACTCAACGCCTTCAGGTATGTAATAACCTTCACGATTAGGATCTCATTATTTCTTTAATCTTTTGATACGTTATGTTTCCACCACTCTTTATTACTGTCGCTGTTGTAATTTTTAGTCAATTTACTATTTCGTTTATCTTATTTTTGTCTAATTTCTCACGGGGTTCACAAACATTTACCTTTATGTATATTCTCAAACTCATCTTTTCGGCCTAAATTGGCTATGCATGCAGCTATCAGATTGTCTACTGTCTGAAAGTAACTGATCGTCTGTCGCTATATATTTCGGATTTTTATTTATTTAATAAATCACCTGTTTATCGATTTATCTCAGCTGTCATATTACAAGAATATTATTGATATTTTATTTATTTATTTGTTGGATCAGAGGGACAGATTATATAATACGTATGCATTTATAGTAGAATCACCGAGTCAACATAATACTTAAATATTGTACTTGAAGCCAGTGATCTTGATTTTTCCATCATTTTTCTATTATTGATAAAAGTCCGAAAATGTGTTTTAATTCTTTTATTCACCTTCGAGTTCCCATATTTTGGCAAGGTTATATGATTATCAGGGTTATTTTATTTTGTTAATTCTCGTTGTGGGTGTTTTATTGGCTAAATCAATTTAGGTTTTTTTAACTACATTAACACTTTTTCTTTTGCCTGTCAGTCATTTTTGTCTTAGTCTATATTTGGAGATTCGATTTTGCTACACTTCTCATATTTGACCTGATTTCATCTTTTAGGTCATATACACCCAGGCGTGAATTTCTCTATAGTTTCTATTATTTTATTTCAAAAAGTTAACTATTGCTCAGACACCTGATCCAGGTCATTTTCTTATAGATTGATTCAACAAGTGGTTACACTTTTCTTATTGATTGAACACTTTACAACTAAACAAAATTCAATCCTTGATCCTACTTTTTTTATTATGATTTAATAAGTATATTTTAATACTTGTTTCTTCCTTCTCTTTCTTTAACATTTTCATACACAATAATAATGATAGTGCGTATATACCCATTAAATGACTTCATTATTTCATGTGCACATTATTCCATTACTACTGACTGGGTGTTGTCTCCCTTTCTTTTTGACTGATTTTAACATTTCCATTTATCAACTTCCTTCTTTTTCATATCAAGTGTATTTTATTGTGATATATACTAACAATCTGTATAAATTTGTATTAAGTATTAAGTACAAAGAAAAAGGTCTCATGAATAGCTTTAAAACGCATATTATCGTTTCTACAGTCTACAGTCTTGTAATATGAAGAAAACGTTAACGATTCATGTAATTTGAAATAGTAATCAGGTTATGAAGAATATTAAAGTAACCTAGTCTCAGTTTAATTTAACTTTACTAATTGATATGCAATATAATACGTTATTGTAAGATATACTTCTCCTATTATTCTTTTTGAGGTTGAGGCCTTTCTTATCGCTAGCTAGGTACTAAAAATCCTGACATAATCCTTCTTGCGACAAAACTATCAGAATAACTCTTTTTATTTATGCATAAAATACTACCTGCAATTATTATTCTACACGTTTCTTTAGTGGAAACTAACTTAGATTTAATGTGGTAACACTTGATTACATTGTTTTATACTGCCTTGGTTAGTCCCAGTCTTTTGGAATAGAATAGATCATCCTTTGGTCTACTAAACGTTCGCAGTACCTGGATCCCTTTTTGTTATTACCTCTCCATTACTTTAACTGCTTACAGGTCAATAGTACTAATAAGTCTTTACATTTTTCGTTTTCATTTATGTGTCAAATATGTCTGATGCTTCGAAAGCTATTCTATTTACCAAGGTAATTAGGTTGAGTCATTGGCGATTGATCTTTTATCATCGTTATCTCACCATAAATATGAACACCAAATGCCCCACTACTACATCAGAAATGGATTTTTTCATATTATTGAATCACTTGAATGGATTGTTAAGGAGGATTATTTATTTTAGGTATATGATGCATGAGACTTCTCCATGATATCATTAAAAAATCTGGTATAAAAATGAATCTTGTCAATTTCAAATCTGCATGAAAACTAAAAGTATTTTCTTCCTACTTAAATTGGCAAATTTACTAAGTATAACTCTTTACAACTATAAACCCATCTCTGGTCACTATATCTACTGATGTTTCGATATCTGCTCTAACTTTGTGTTTTGCAGAAACTAGTGATTGTTGAAGGAATATTGACCTAAACATTTACTGTCAGTCAAAATCTTCAAATTATTCTAACAATGTTCACCTAATTTAATTTTGGAAACAGGAAATTCATCTGCTTTTGATCTATTCTGCTGGATTTCACAGTTTTTAGTGAAATTTATCCTCCATTTTTTCTACATTCTAATCACCAATTGTTCAGTTCAGGGTCACCTAAAACTAAGATTCTTCTGATTGTATACGTAGTCATGTAGTTCTTTTCCAACTTAATATTACATACTTTGACTAGCCTTGTATCTTTTAAATCATTTATACACTAAGTTGTGCCACTGAGTTTCGTGTTACAGGCGGATCGTGCCAGTCTACAGGCAGCTGAGAAACGTCTCACTGAAGAGCGTAAATATCGTTTGCTTCTCGAACAGCAGTTCAAACAGCAATCTGGTAAACAAATAGAAGCAAGCTCCTCAGAATCAACATCTAACGAACCAGTTATTTCTAAAACCACAGATTCCAAGTAAGTAAGGTTTTATTTAATCTATACCTTCCTCAATAATTAGTGCTTTTGTCTCGACAATTATTACGTGTAATTGATTAGGTTGTATAAAAATAGTTGAGGTTAATAAAACTTAGGGAGATATATTTACTTTTTCAAATGAAGGATTGTATTCGTACACCATAATGTGTTATCCTCGCACGGAGTGGTGATTACCCACCATTAAATTACTCGTTACTTATCAGACAATTAAAATATATTATCGTCGTAATTCAACATTTCTAACGGATGTCTTTAGGTATCTCCATAATAGACCCAACTCTAAGCAACTCATAAAATTTTAAATGAATGTTCAACTAGGTACAAATTTACAGTAAAATGCACATCAAACTCCGAAGAATTCGTATTTTAATATTTAGAGTCTGGTTATTAAGATTCAGGAAATGTATTTTCAGGGTTCCTTTGGCGAGAATGCTTTTAATTTGTTCAGCATATCGTTTGTCCATGATTATATATATATAGTTGATTTTTGTCTAGTTTCATATCGTCACATGATTTCGTTGACCGTTTGACTAAGGCTGCAATGATCATGATATCTGCAAAGATTTCATGAGTTATTATGAAATTATTAGTTTATGACCTGTCACTTAAATTTGTTTGACTTTTACTGTCTTTTCTCATCTCTTTATAAATATTTTTCCTATTTCAGAGCTTCAATGACTGAATCTCGAAGTACTTCATTAAATTCCTGTGATCCCATATGCGTTGAAGCATGCAAAAACAATGAATTATGCGCAAAACGAAGGCAGGAACTAGAATTAGAATTGCAAAATCTTACAAAAGCTTTAACTATTAAAAATAACCAACTTACAGCACTGAACTCTGAACGTTTTTCACATGGTGGATTAAGTGAATCCAATGATAAGACATGGAAGAAGCAAACTAAAACTGAACGAACAAAACAATCTAATTCTGTGGAACAAAACTACAATATGAGCAAACGGCGGCAAAAGCATGAAATAACTGAGACTGAATTAAGTGATCTTGCCTCTCGTGTAAACTCTTTGCAAGAAGAAAATCAACGTCTGACAGACACCTTAAAAGAGGAAGACAAAATGAAACAGGAGCTTATGACGGCTTACCATTCTTCCCTAAAAGAGATAACAGAATTAAATGGTTTGTTTCAGTTGCTTTATTATGTGCCTTTTGTCATCATGTAACTGATTATTTTTTATTTTAATGTAATACTGTAAATATTCATAAGGTCTGGTCTGTGGTCTGATTTAGCTCCTATGGTGCACATATAAGTCTCAATATTAAACTAAGTGTACAGGAATGCAAGATAATTATAGGCGAAACCCCATAATTAAGCGATGGCATTTACAACTCATATATATTTCCAGGTAATTGGATTGATGCAGGTAAGAAATATTGTAGTTAATATTCCTTGGTCATGTGAATATACAAAATAATCATCATAGCTCACTCACACTTGCATCGTTCAACCTTATTACGTCTTGTGACTTGACTTCTTCAGTTTATTAGTCTAGTCGCCAACTATTGATCTGAGTTGACTTGTTTAAAGGAAAGTTATAATTTAGCAATGTGTTTTAAAACTTTAGGACACTCCGTTTGACAAATTTGTATTATAGAATGAGCAGATGAGGTTTGTTGTAACTGTGTGATACACGAGCGTAATACGTTCCGATTTAGCCGAAAATGACTGTGTACAAGGCGTATGTAGATGACACAGTAGTCACATGTAGCAATAATAAAGGTCGAAATTGTTTGTTAAGGAAACTCAATATCTTTAAAGTTACGTTATACTTTCATGCTAAGAAAAGAATAATAACCTGTTACCTTTCTTAGATATCATTAGTCGAAAAGATGAACATGTGTCATGGAGCTTGATTGTTTGTCCCCTAAATCACTCACTAGATGAGAACTATCCGATTATTATTCACTTGCCATCCCAATGCCGTGGTACGGCCGAGGGTTGAGACAACCAGTTCTCCCTCTCGAAATGCTCTCAAACGGCCACGCGTACGCAGCTACTATCAAAGAAGTCTTACTCATTGCCTTCTCACGGCAGGGGTGTTGTCTACGAAACTGAGAGGATGAAAAGCGAATGTCCAGCGCTTTAACCGGGTTGGTGTACACAGAGGGTCCACCTATGGATGTTGGAAAACCTGATTCCAAACCAGTGGAGCACATGGGCTCCAGCATTCTGAGGGAAAATGGCGTACGAACCCATATTTTGTCGCCAACTACCATGGGACTGCATGTATAATTTTTAGTATCAATTTGTTTTTGTTGGTTGAAATTATCAAGCTTTTTTTTTAAAAAAAACTAACTACTCTTCCAGCTACACTTACAAAGAAGGAGTACCAAATCGTCGAACTTAACAAGCGCTTGAATTGCCTTACTCCAAATCTCTGTGAGTATGTAAGCAGAATGAATGCTTCAACATCGAATTGTGCTAAAGTTTCAAACATCTCAATCCCTTTGGATGGCATTCCTAACGAAGAATGTGTAATTAACTCATATTCTGTCACAGATACTTCACAGATGTACACAAACTTTAACAAAACACAAATAGATGAGCACAACCATATAGACAGAATTGTTTCTAAAACTGGGTCGACAAACAGAATGAATTCTTATAATCAGTCCTACTCCTTGACTCCATATGAAACATCTGCGCCATTGAATAATCTAACAAATCAAAAGTCAAGCATTTATTTTGTTGATCCTTGTGCCAAATCAAAGCCTTTCTTCACATCCCCCTTTCCTGTTACTGATAGAAAATTTCATGGAATTTCTGAAATAAATAATTCCACTAATCTTAATAATTTGGACTATTTCGGTCATCTTACTTCGTCGGAAGAGGTTATTCCATCGTCGTCGTCACTAACCAATACTGGACTAGGTTATCAAACAAGTCTAAATGACCATTGTCACATAAATAATAGAATGCATTTTCGTTCGGATAAACTACCTAATTCAAACGCCTTTCATCTCAGTCATTTCGAAACCCTTGGTATGAAATGTATGAATGGAGGATACACGTCATATGATAATGCTGTTTTAAATAGAGTTTTACCAACCAGATCTATGCCGTTGTGTAGTACCAGACCAATGACTGTCGGGAATTCAGCCCAAGCTTCGTCACCCCCTCCTTTGTTTGTTCCACCTCCCGGCCTCTTACAGGGTGATATTGCTTCTAGTGTTTTGCATTATTCACACTCTATTAATGGAACATTATCATTGCCATCTTTAGAAGTGGTTGCAAATTCGTCAGTTTGTGTCACTGAGTCCATGTCAACAACCCCAACTGCAGTTAGTTCATATAGTCCTCGGATTGTAGCTGACTCATATTCCACAGATCCAGTGCATACAGTTGGTCACCAGGAAGAACTATCATCTCAATCGTACAGTAGTTTGAATTTTAATAGTTCAGTATGTGATAGCTTTACTAATCTCAACCCACATTCAATATTCATGACATCTAATGAACCTAGTTGTTTTCAATTCGGGATGAGAAGTTCCACTGATGATAAGCCCAACTCTTTTGATTTCACTACATTTGGTCCCGTTGGGTCATCATCACCAGCCGGTACTTTCATCCACTCAAATTTAAATAGTTCTAACTGCAATAGTTCTATCTTGTCAAATTTAACTTCAACAGGTTTACAGAGTAGACAAGTGTGTTTAGATTCACAAAATACTGATACCTTAAGGTTTCCTATGATGTCTCCATCAGTTTCGCATTCAGATGCCATCTCAAATTCATCTACGATGTAGTAGCGATCAGACATTATAAGAACTGAGTTGTTTTTGTCTTATCGTATGTTTACATCAAAAATCTTATTTTGCTGTATTTCCGTTATTAATTTTTATCCGGACAGCAGTGTGGAAAGAAAACTAAGTTTTATTAACTGTTTAAGAGCTTTTCGAAACTCGTGATTCGTCTTACGGGGACCCAACTTTGCATTTTGATAACCTTCAGAGAGTTTGACCTTTTTTCTGGAGTTTATGTACCCAAATTTTATTGTTACTTTACTATTACAACTCTTGATATATTTTTTGCGTTATTATATCCTAATCGGTTAACATAACAGCAGAATCTGCTTTAAATGGTTTGTCTCAGCTGCCTATTTGTCTCTCTTCTAAGATTTGTCTTCTAGACCTTTCTAATCACTTTCTTTAATATCTTCATATGACTTATGCTATTTCTTTTGTTTTCCGAACTAAGTATTATGGTCTAGTCGTTGCTTTTTCTTGTTATTCTTTTTTATGGTTTTGTTCCTACCTTCCCTTTTTTAAATGTGTTGCTTAACGCTTTGTAGTCGATACTAAAATTGTGGTCTTTGTTTTGTATTTACGACTTATGCACACTTTTCCAACTCATCTTTTTTGTTCATACGTTTAAGAGTATCTCAATGGTTGGCTAGTTATCTTCTTTTCCTGTTTCTTATCTTTCATGTCCAGTTTACATTCTACTGTGCAGCATGAACTTTGTTTCTTTAACCATGATAAAATTATTGAAAAATAACAAAATTTATGTGAGACGAAACAGGCATGTTCATGATTGTTTTTTTGTCCATAATTATAGGAAGTTATCATAGGTTTGAAATGAAATAGGATTACATTTTTATTGTTTGCCACTTTCGATGCAGAATACATTGTAGTGGTCATTAGATGAATCGCTGAATTGCATCTTGTAGTGATAGTGGTATTGCCACTTATGTTCGAATTTTTTAGTCGGTGTAGTGTGAAAATGTATGATTAAGTATACTTACTACTGACCTATAGCTACAAGTCTGACTTATTGTCGTTGATATGTAAAAATAGCGTTTTTTTATGACACATGTTTTTATTGGTTTTCGTTACATTATATGAATGGTTACTATAGATGTGTGGGTTTTCTGATAAAGCCAGGTATTTATTCCCATTAAATCAATAGAATTGAAGAATTAATTCTCACTAGTGAAATTTTATTAATAGTTAGAGATGAAAATACTAAAAAGGAGTAAATAGATTGATATTGGGATTTATTAACTAGATACAACTCGACTAATTTATCAAACTTAACGTTACTACCGAGTCTGAAATGTTAGTGGTGAAGCGAAGACAAATAAGTGGTGTCCAACTCGTTTACTTCAGTCCATTGTTGATGAAATGAGTTAAATCATTACTTATTTCAGTCTAAATGTATTTCATGCCATCATAACGTGGATGAACTTCATGATGTTACGACACTAACTTGTTAAGCAAGTGATCTGATTACACCACATTCTGGGATTCCTGTTCTAAATAGTTATTGGCCATCGCTCACTTCAAAATTCCCAGTGGTTGATGAGTTATATGCTTATTTTCTCGATCGATTCTCATCCCATTGACTTCAGAGAAACTTATGAACGATCACATATTTAAGAAAGTTAAGGAACTAATTTTGTAGTTTGTACGAACTGATATTTTAGTCCTCGATTAGGTCAGTAGAGTCCATCTTCCATACGGTATTAGGTCGGATAAGTGTAATTTCTATTTATATGAAAATCTAAGTGTCCACTGTTTGGTTTAAATGCATTTTGCAAGGTTATCTTAGTTCTGATGTTTATCTATATATTATATATATTAGTATAGATATGTATCTAGAAAAAATTGTATCAATCATATTTATTTAACTATGATACGTGTAGGCAGTCAGTGAAAAATACAGGTTCTAAATTCCAAGTCAAATAATTTTAAGAACATTGGATTTTCTGTTAATTTTATTGCATCAATTTGATATCACTGCACTTAAACAGTGATTTTCATCTTTAATAGATCTTTTCTAAACCTCAGTGGAATCTGTTTTAATAGCTGGTTAACTAAACTCAGGTTTTGGATCACTGTCAAAAATAATATCAAGTTTTCCGACTAATTTGAACTGTAAATATATTTTCTGGAGGAATAATCATTTCTGCTCGTTCGACGCAAATGATTTTTATCCATGTTTCACTGTTATATAAAGATGTTTTTGGATTTACCATGCAAAGGATTTTATGTATAGAAATGATAACATGATTGACGATATCGTTATACGATTGTCATAACTGGTCAAGAGACATTAATTGACCCAAGTTTTCATTTGAATCAAGGACAAACATAACACATTTAGTGAGCGACATAGATTAATTTACTAGTAAAGTAACAGCTCCCGAATGCCCTGGTACGGCCGAGAGTGGGGAGAGTCCGCTCTCCCTCTCGAACCGCTCTTACATGGTCACGCGTATATAGCCTCTGCCAGCGAATGTCCGGCGCTTTAACCGGATTCCAAACCACTGGTGCACATGGGCTCCAGTATCCTGCGGGAACAAGTGGTGTATGAATCAATTGTTGGTCACCGGCTTCTATGGGACTGCATCTCCTCACGATGCTCCACTGCCTTGTGGGTCAGACCTTCAGGTCGAAGGCTCGGGAAGTGGCCCCCTAAGAAAACCACCTGCTTCGGTTTGGGCACCCGGGCAGTACCACAGCCTTCACGCATGTCGAATGAGATTTGTGTGGCGCATATATATTTGGTACCTCCTTGTACCAATATCTATGTGTTAAAAGAAATAAGTAAATAAAGTGATAACTTAATATGATCAAATATTTTTTTTTAAAAGTAAACGATTTTGAAATATAATTTGCATAGGTTGGTCGAATTAAGACCAAGTCTAAAAACCATCATATGAAGTTATTCACCTTAATGTTTTCATGTGACGCATTGATTTTACTAATCAGATCAACAAAATTTGTCTTGTTCTTATCGAAACCTCAGAATCACCGGAAATTATTCTGTCACCTTCCAGAACTGCATAATGTTTTTAGAAATTTTTGCTGACACAAGTTACCATACTTCACAGGTCTCACGACTCGTCTCATTTTCGTTCGTTAAAATCTAAAGAATTCTGTCATTCATTCACTAAATTATTCATCATTGACAGTCCAATGGCAAATTATGATGGTTACACTCAGGAGTGATTTTCTTAAATTACGAGCTGTAAGGACGGTTAACATTACACAGTTTTTAGTGTACTACTTGTCACAGTAGCACAATTCCGTATAAACTTATAGACGTCTTCAATCTGTCAGTTGATGTAAAAGAAGGCACCACTGGATGCAAATTTAAGAGGACAGAGATAGTGTCCCTTTTTAATGAAGATCTGTCGAGTTCGTACATTTAAAGCATTAAGATATAGAAACAGCATAAATACATAATCGTGTGGAAGTGGTTTCATTCTTGTTATGGATGCTGAGGAATAATGTGCCAATCATTATCATGTTAAGTCTAATGATGTCCTTGGACGTTAAATGAACATTCCCTATCGGCCGTTATTTATTTCACTCGTTAAATATTGTACAGATGTTTTTTTTATTTTTGTGGTACGATGTGGTCTGTTTGGTTAGTATATAAATAGAGTATGTCTGAAACATAATGATTCATAACTCAGAGACTGTGACTTGCGTTCTAGACTCAACTGGCTGGGCTAGACAGGGAAGTGGGACCAATCGGGACTCTAGGTCGTCCTTAAGTGTTTTACGTGCCATTGTAATCGATAATATAAACGCTGCTTATCAAAACCTGCAGTCTACCTGTTACAACAATTCTCGTGACAGTGGGTGTTTACTTCAATCGAATGGACCATAGATCCGTCACTCGAAGATTATCTACCACTGATTGTAAGAAATATGTTTAATTGAGAAACCATAGTTTGTTTAAAGGTAGCTGGAGAAAAAATAATATTGCTTTTTGTATAAAGCTGAGAGATTGATAGGATCAAAAATAGTTCCACTATAAGTTGCCTTCATAGACAACTTTTCATTCAGTAATAGGTGACTTCAGATAATCTGGAGGACGTTTGGGTATATGTTTTGTGCAAGATGACACTGGTCATCAAGCTTACCTGCGATCTTAAGAGAACTGACACTTCTGTTGGGTTCAAACCCACGTCATCCAATATTTAACTTTGAGATGCCACTACTAACTGACCACCTGTAAGGTTGGGGCATCGAATAATAACACATGATGTTCAGTTGGTCGGAATCATAGTGGCATTGTACTTTGATTGATGGAAGTATATTAGCACTAAACACAAGGCAAATACAATGTCGATTGCAACCCAGTAATCAGTCAGTGTAGAAATGTTTCCTAATAATTGCATAAACTTAAATGTTGGGATTTTATCACTGGCGTTAAGTGAGAGAGCCAACAGCCCCACTGATAACATGAAGGTTGGCTACTGTATTGTTTTAGTACGACTATATTTGAGTACCTCCAAGGTATTTTATCAGCTTTCCTGTTTGTGGGGAAACAGTTGTAGTTCTAGATTGTAAGTTTTACTTTGCATGATTAATCGGGTATTTTAATGTGAAGTTTCACAATAATTTGTTCGAGTGAATCTTCATTAACGACCTCAGATTATTTATGAAAAATTTATAGATTCCGCAATCAAGATTCTTGACTCAGTCTTTTTCTGTATGCACTAATTTCAGTAGATTGCAAGATCGAAATTAGGAATCAGTTTTCTGGGAAAGTGTGGTTTGAATGAACTAATGATTCCTTTGTGTTTGTCGAATGCTTATTTTCGAATTCCAAATATAGTACATTCGTTTGTGTTTATTTAGTACTTCTTGATCCGGTTGAGTTATTTCTGGGATTCTTAGTTCGTACTATAATTCAAGTACTCCTAATTATCACATTGGCGTTGCGATGGAGCCTCTGATGGAATGGTTGGACATGCATTCAGATTTCGATGCTTTTGAGGATTACATAGAAACGTTCAGAATTTGGGCTATGATCAAGGAAGATGTTAATATTTTGGTACATTTCCTTATATTCATCGGAAAAGTAGCCTATAGCTTACTAAAAACTCGGGCTTTACCAGAAAAGTGTAGTGGTCGGTATTCTATATAATCTTTAAACTTCGTGTGCGGTTCGCTTGATAACCGTCATTAGATCAGAAGGCGAATACGAAGTATTGGTTACGTTTATTATGGCACCACACACAGATATCTAATTTACAGGTACGTTAAGCGAGCATGAAAGAGTAGTACCGAAATTCTAGCGGACAAGCGAGTCGACGAATACGAGTACGATTAAGCGAGTACAATTAACATGAATAAAATGTGCATATATATACATAGTCAAATGAAGGAATAATCGAATCAATTAAGCAATTAATATTTAGGCTAGCAGAGCGAATATATGCGTAGGCGGTAAGAAATGCTCAGGCATACATATTTATACAATCGTAACAATAATATTGATAAGCTGTTATTGAACGAATAACTGTACGTTAAATAAGTTGACAAAAAGGGCTTGACCAAAGTCAATGTGAACAAACTCCATTTCATGTGAGCTGCTGTAAGGGCCTTTTTTACTTCCCTATACAACTCTCAAGGGTCTACTGCTAGACTGTGTTAAGCATACAGTATTCGAATGCGGTAACGGAGGAAGATTTCGTAAAATGATTCATTAGGACATCAAAAATTCCACTACATTACTACGTCATCCCAATCCAGTGTGTACTCAAGTTTATGCAAATAATTCG